TTTTTTATGTTTTGGAACCAAGTTTAAGTGGAAAAATGAGAATTTAAAAAATAATTTCTAAGATTTTTATTACAATAACATTTTTTTAAATGCATTATAAATTTTTTAAATTTTAATTAAAAACGCTTCTAATTTTTCTTAGTCTATATTAGCTCGGCCTATTTTTTCTAATTTTTTAATTTACTTAATGTTCCCTCTCAATTACCTCCTCAAATGACAAAATTAAAATGTATTCATATGTCAAAAATAAATTAATGTATGCACTTTTGTGCATATTGTAACTTGTAATAATTTCATACACGCCTATTAAACACCTATTACATTTATTATCAAATCGTATTGTGATATTCCATCTTCTTCATTTGATATCATCATCCATTTCATTTAATTCTGCTATTAAATATTTGAATATACTGGTAAATGAACACAATTCGTTATGTAATTTAACGCTCAATATATTTGCGAATTGTGCTAGTTTTTCCAAGGCATTTCAGAAACCTTTACTATTTATTTCATCAAAATGCCTCATTTAAATTTTTTAACAGTTCCACTCGCACTTTTTAAAATCAATTGTCATCTTTCTACGGTACATATTCACTGAAATTTTAATTTAACATGTTTACAATATCTATTTTTACCCATTTACTTTAAAAAAATTCAAAAATAATTTTGACAATTGTCATTATTCTATGGTACACCTTCACTGAAATTTTAATTTAACATGTTTATTATGTATATTTTTACCCATTTGCCTTAAAAATTCAAAAATAACGATTGTGACAAATGTCACTTTTTTATGGTAAATAATCACTATTTAAAAAAATAACGATGACAAATGCCAGTGCATTAATAATAGTAGCCAGAGCATTATATTTAAAAGAATCTATAAATAACTTACCTTCCCATAATTTTAATATCTACTAAATGTTATTATTATATTTATTGGAGTCAACCCTAGAAGTCTTGGTCGAAAAAAATGATTAGGATAATGGGTGAGGTGAAAAAAAGCAACCCAAACCTTAGATCGTCCTTTAAAAAACGACCCATATTTTGGATCGGATTGAATAAAACCACCACAACTTTGGGTTGAAGTCGTAAAAAACGACCCGTTTTAGTCTGAGTCGAAAAAACGACACAACTATTCGTCTTCTAGTCGATTTAAGTATATAACTCGTATAACGACTCAAGTTGGAAGTCTAAAGTTAAAGAAAAATGTTTTATAAATTAATAATAACTAATTAAAAATCTCCGTCCTTAAGTCGGCTCAAGTTCATAGAACTATTCAACCTCTAGTCGACTAAACTATATAATTTATATTCACGACTCAAGTTGGAAGTCTAAAGTAAAAAGTAAATAACAGAACAAATATCTTAATTAATAATAACTAATTTGAAATATTCGTCCTCTAGTCGACTCAAGTTGACGGCTCAAGTTAGAAATATTGTCCTCTAGTCGACCAAACTATATAATATGCAGATTTGTTAAAAGATACTTTTTAAATGGATCTAAATACAGATACATAGTCTAAAAATTTATCTAGATACAGATACAGCTTCTAAAAAGTTATCTAGATACAGATACAATTTAAAATGTGTCTAGGTACAGATAAATTTTTTATTATACTCTTAGATAAGGTTTGAATAAACCTAAATTAGGATTCTATTGTGAAAATTCATGAAATGATCTAAAAAATTTATTGTGACTCGATATCACATTTATCAAAATATAACTAAAATAATGATTTTTAGATATTAATATAATATATGATTAATATAAATAATTATTATATATCATTAATAAAATAATATAATATATGATTAAATGATTATAAATAATTATTAGATTTCAGTAATAAAATATTTTCAAAATTTTGGTCATTAATACATCCTCGTTTATCTGTAAAGACATTTTTAGCTATACTAAAAAGTCTTTCAACAGGGGCGCTGGAAGGGATTGTGGTGTTATATTTAATGAATAACATTTTTATATCAGAATATTGTTTAAAAATACTAAAATCTCGGCATTCATTTTTGAAAAACTATTTAAAATTTGTTGATTATCAGATTTAAATCATTAACAATCATATCTCCTGCTGTAGGATACTGAAAAAAATCGGATATTAAATTGTTGGTTTTTTTTCACAGGTTAATTTGCACTCATTTGAAGACTTTGATAATTCCTCAACTAATCTTTATATTAATTGTTTTTTTTATTAAAATTTTCATCCATTTGCAACCATGTCCAATCTAGTTTAAAAAAAGGATGAAGCATAGTTGCCAAAATATTTTCATCTTCAAAAATGTCCCAATAAACCTAGAATTATTAAATATTTATTAATTTATTATTAATTTACCTATCTTCAAGCCCTTTAAGTAAAGAATTGTGGTAAACAAAATTTCAGGTTCATTTGTTTAAAATTTTTCAATTTAATAATGAGCTGGGAAATAGTTGAACAGTAATAAGCTGTGAAAATATATTTATCTTCCTGCAGGATTTCAAGTGAACTTGATACCAGCTTCATTAGCTAATTTATAATAATGTTGTATATACAAATTTTATTTATAACTAAACAATATTCATGAATAAAATCACATTCATTAGATAAAAATCTAGGTAATTTCATTCCATCGCAAATCTTGTCCAATTTGTCAAATTTAGTCTTAATAATTTCTGACATTAATTGTAAATCATTATAAGTGGAGTTCCATCTAGTTATATTGGGACATATAAAATATCGGCCAATATTGTTTTTTATAATCTCAGCTGAATTGATTTATTTTGTCTATTCCATATATTTTGGCATTTAGACAATGTTGAGCTATATATCTAAGGAATAAAAATATAAAATATTATAATTAAAATTATAGTTTACCCTCTGATATTGTTTACACTGCAAGGCTCTATTTGCATCTACAGTGGCAATAAGATTCAATGTGTGAATGACACAACATTGATGAATAGGTAAAATATATGGTTCTGATATTTCAAAATCCTGAGCAGTAGTATAAAGACCTGATATTGATATTGGTGCAACTCTTTCTTCATCTTCCAGATCATCAATGGATTCACTAATATTTTCAATTGGCTTATAAAATAAACCTAAATGACTTGATAAAGTTTTTGGCATTATCAGTAATGGTCTTTGAGATTTTATTTTGTATGCAATAATCCTTTGCTATATCTTGTAAATTTTTTGCTATTTTATCATATTTATGACTACCAGTCATTCTTTTACAAGCCACTCTACATTTTTTCTTTCCAAACTTGTTGGATCTATATAGTGTGCAGTGACTCCTATGTATGAACTAAAAATTAACATTTCTTAAAACTGCTCAGATAATTTGTTTGTAATTAAATTATTATACAAATTTAAATGTTTACCGGCGATAGGCACTCCAACAATCTGCTGTTGTGCATATTAACGATGGATCTATTAGACTTTTAAGAATTTCTTTCTTTTCATTCTCCCATCTTTGGGAAATTCTAGCAACCACTGTCTGTCTGCAAATTATATATTTTTTTGGAGCTAATGTTTTGATCATTTTTATAAATGATGGATTTTCAACAACTGAAAATGGCTGAATGTTATCAATTGGTTTAAAATCTTAGGTCTCTTGAAAAAAAAATCAATGGACGATGAGCCTAGTCCAATATTTTCTTTAATAGATTTTTTCTCCTTCCCCTTTTTTATTTGGATTAGGAGTGTTTGATGTTTTCTCTTAAAATTTAAAATTAAATTTGTAAACATATATTTAGTATCTATACCCTTAAATGCTTTACAATGTTACAAGTTGAGCTAATGCTAACAGAAATTTGTATATTTTTTGGTAAATATGGCAAACATTTTACTAACAGAGATTTGTTTTCTTTATTATGAGATATTATTTTAAAATATGGTCTATAAATTGGCCATGGAATGTCGTCATTTTCGTCCTCAATGTTAGTCTGAAAAATTAATATAATAGAATAAAATAAAATACTAATTCCATTGCAATTAAAAATGGCAAATTCCTTGAGATGGATTGTAATATCAGAATTTGCTTGTTGTTGATAGCTCGGACATAATATTTAATTTATATTTATAGATTCTTTTTTATATACAAGTTTTAATATTTTACATATATATATAATTTTTTAATATATATATAATTTTTTAATATATATATTAATATTAATTATATGCTCATATGAAATAAAATAAATTTTACATTCAAGTATATTTATTTATAATATAAAAAAGCGTTAAATAAAAGTATATCAAAAAGTATCAAAAAACAGATGTCTTTACAGATAAACGAGGATGTCTTAATGACCAAAATTTTGAAAATATTTTATTACTGAAATCTAATAATTATTTATAATCATATATTATATTATTTTATTAATGATATATAATAATTATTTATATTAATCATATATTATATTAATATCTAAAAATCATTATTTTAGTTATATTTTGATAAATGTGATATCGAGTCAATAAATTTTTTAGATCATTTCATGAATTTTCACAATAGAATCCTAATTTAGGTTTATTCAAACCTTATCTAAGAGTATAATAAAAAATGTATCTGTACCTAGATAAATTTTTAGACTATGTATCTGTATCTAGATCCATTTAAAAAGTATCTTTTAACAACTCTACTAATTTGAAATATTCGTCCTCTAGTCGACTCAAGTTGACGACTCAAGTTCATAAAATATTCGTCCTCTAGTCGACTTGAGTTTACGACTTGAGTTTGAGTTAGTCGGCATATTCGACTAACGACTCGAGACTCTGAGTCGGAGTCGGATGAACTCGACTTTTTAACAACACTAGAACCAAGATTGGTAAATCGATCGATGACCAACATTTTAGGTGAATGGTCGATGCATCCCTAATATTTATTATAGAATATACGAAATTTCTTTTCCTTAGACTAAAAGAAAGTTTTTTGATCAAACTATAATATCATGTTATTCAAAAATTTTAATTTTTTATATTAAAAATAATATATAAGCAGAAATAATGAAAGGGTCCTTAAAAATGATGGAGCAGGGTATTATGGACAATATTTTTTTTGATTTTAAAAAATCTGGAGATTATTATGAATATATTTCTTACCAGACAATGAAAAATCTCAATCAGCAGGTAAAAATAATAACTTAATAAAATGTATGCTTATTATTATTTTTCAGAAATCTTATCATAATATACTAGATATGAATATTGAAGCACTTCCTCGATTATTTTCATTAAATATATGTCCTATTATAGTAGTGATCAAATTTAAAAACATAAAACACATGAAGTAAATTTATAATTATAATTAAATTTATTTAACAACATTTTTCGTCATAGGTTACTTTTAAAAATTAAAATATTATACAAAATATAATTTTCTCATTAGTAAATTTTATTGAAATATAGCAACATATATAATAATAATATTGAATGAAAATTACTACCATAAGAATCCTATATTAGAGCTTTAAAATGTTAAATTAATAGGAAGCATAAGATTTGATGATGGATTTAGTGGTAAATCGATTTAGAGAGGAAGTTAATTTTTTTTAGGTCATTGTTAAAATTTTTAATTGATAAATTATGAAAAAATTATTTTAAAACAGAGATGTAGATTTAATTCTCATTAAACAAAAAAATATGTTTATGATAAGAAATCCGACGCAGTTTGCAACCAATAAAATAATAATTTCCTGAAAAATTATAATAAATCATGGAAAATTATAAATATGTATCATTTAGAACATTTATATTTAAATAATTAAGAAATATATAAGATTTATGCAGTCTTAAGTTAGTTTGATTTCTGGAAACCTCGCTACAAAATAATTATGAAAAAGGTTCTGTATTTAATCAAGTCTGAGTATCATAGTGTCTATATCCACATTTTTGCAAAATGCATTTTTTTCAATATTTGTTCTATGATCATTAAAATGTTAAAAAACTTCTTAATTATTCCCAAAATTTGTTATTGCTTCCGATCATCAAGAGAATTCCTATTTTTAGGAATTCTCCAAAATTACGAAAGTAATACAAATCGATATTGTAGAATATTTTCAATCTAATATTTTGTCCTAAAATATGGTTGTAAATTACCCTTTCCATAAAATCTTGAGAACCTGGGCTACGTTTTCCTTGATTTTAGGAAAATAATTCACCTGAAAAAAAATCCCAAGAAAAATTTCATCGAAAATAATTGCGGAAAAAATAACCACGGATAAAGATTCCCCGTTTTTTAGATATTAAAAATTCGAAAATTAATAAAATAGGAAAATCCCTCTCATATCCGCAAAATAATATTCCCCATATAAAATATTTAAAAATTTTGAGAAAATCAACAAAATAAAATAAATTCCTGGAGAATAAATGTCTGAAAAATATTTTCCAAATAATTGAAAATTTTTAAAATATTATCTAATAACTCTAAATCATATATTTTTAACATTATGGTCTTATCCCAACCCAGTTTTAGTGAAATTTAAGCAAAAAATATTTTAAAATAAACTAATGCTGAACTATAACATACTCCCCTAACCTTAATTACCTCCTAGATACCAAGTTTCTGTGATATTAAGCTAAATATTATAAGATTTAATTATAATGGTTTGGCTCTAATTTTTGTTTTTTAAGATCGATTTTTTGGCCCTAACCGTCAGATTTCTGTTTAAATAAATCGAAATCTGACATTTGTTATTCACTTCCCGATTCAATTAATTAAGATTATTAAATAAATTTTTGTTTACCTTTAAACATTTTCCCCATCTTTTAGATATTTATGGGAAAGAATTTTAAAGGTTTATAATGACTGGAAGTAATTTTTTTAAAAATTTAGAACATTGTTTTTTTAAAAAAGGTTATGAAATTATTTATCGTTTCATTTTTTTAAAAATTCCTTCAAAAATGGGTCGTCATTTTTTTTTTCAATTAACTGGAAAATAATAAGGATTCGTGTAGCATAAATTACTCTTTATGTTCTCAATTCCCGTTTATAAAATAGTTATCCCTATGATTTTTCATCTGAACATTGTAAAGATAATTATTATAATCGTTTCATTTTCTTTGTAGCCACTCGATCTTATTTTGGTGTCACCTTTTTTTCCGAAATGTCAAAAATCTATTTAAATACATTTTATGCTATCGCTGCTAAATTATAAAGTATCAAAGCTACCATCCGATTTTTCGAGTCTCATATTTTAAAATGAAGCTATTCACTTGTTCAGAAATAGAACTAAAACACTCCTTAAACATTGAGACTAAATATTCAAAGCTCAAAAAATATTGAATATCCAGAATTATCCCTTAATTTCATAAAAACAGAATTGCCCAGAAAAGGGATATATTGCCTCTGTGATTTGGTATTACCTTCTTTATGAGATTTTCGCTATTATAAATTTTCGATAAAACTTTCGCTGTTATATATTAGCTCTAAAGAGATCTCGGTAAAAGTTATGCTATAAAAAATTCTCGATATGGTTTAGCTGAATACCATGTGAATGTGGATTCGAGACAAATATTTATCTATAAAATATATTCGCTTTAATAAACATTCGCCAAAATGTGAGAAAAGTTTTGATGTCTTATTAGTTTGTTAAATTTAAAACGCAATTGAGTTTCAAAATAAATCTTTGAGGATTAATTTTTAATATAAATTGCGATTTAAAATTTATAAAAAATATTTGCAATTTTTAGTAAAATTTGATCAATCTTTTTTTATTTAAAAAAATAATTAAGGGAATTTTTTTTCGCATTTTTTTCCGAGCAATTATTTTATAATTGAAAAAATGGGAAATTTATTCTCGGGGAATTATTTTCTATGGGTATTTATTTCCGGGGGTTTATCTTCCAAGTGAATTTTTTTTCCGTAGAATTATTTTCCGGGAATTTTTTTCCGCTTATCGTTTTCCTTTACCTCTTAAAATTATACCAATCATATCATCTTCATCAGTAACCGAGAATTTATTCTGTAATCAAACCAACCGATGATTCGTTACTTAATCTTGAGTAACAGAGGGAACAAATTATCCATAACCAGTTCACAAAAGGATTGGGATACAACTATATTTACATTCGAGCAACGACATTTAGCAGCTTGGCTTAGCGTCACTTCAGGAAAACGCCGAATTTAGATTCACTGTTACAATAAATTTAGGAATAGAAATACTTCAACCTTTTAAGTGTCAAAGACTTGGTACACTAGTTGATCAAAAACCAAGACTTCCTCTTCATCGTATAGATATAAATGCAAGAAATAATTAATAAAACTATGTGGAAAGCACTCTATGGAGCTAATATTCCAACACAGCTCGAAACGCGTGATTCTTCAATTATTAACAACACTAGATCGGATTGATATACACATAACAGGACCAATTTTGTTATAGTGATCTGCATCGGGCCAAATTTTTAAGTCCGGCCGAAATTTAAGATAAAAATTTGTACAACCCGATTCCGAATTTTATATTTTTCCCAAAAAGTCAGACGCTAAATGAAAAAAAAATTATTTGTCAGCCCGTCCCGAATATATTTAAATATTGAAAAATGTAATTTTAATTTAAAACTATTCTACAAATAAAAAATAGTGACGTCTCTAAGAATTTTAAAATATATTCTATAAAATTATATACCGACCAAGGCCGGTGTAGTATTGTAAAATTAATACCATCTAAAATCAATAATTTTTGAAAATATTTTTAAGGAATTATAATTTTCTAGCTGATAAACTTTTTAAAAATATTAGGACCGACCCATCGTGAACCTGAAATTATTTTTATGCGATCTTATTAAAAGCTACTTTTAAAAGTAGCTGTCCTAAAGCTATTTGACAAAAAAAGTAAAGCGCTCTTAGCTTTTTTAAAAATTCTTATCCATAAAATTAACACTATCATCTCTATACATCTTCAATATAGAGGGATCAGAAAGTATAAGTTTTGACTTACTAAATAATTGTGGTAGCATTTGAGGGCAATGTGGTATTTAATTTTCTAAACTTTCTATATAAGAAAAATTATCAAAATTGTTCATTTAAATATAGATTTAAAAATGCGCCGACGATTTATTAGCTACTGTATTTTCATTGAGTATTAAATTAATTAACGTTAGCTGCTCTTTGCAATTAAGTTAATAACAGATCACATAAATACTTTATTTTACCTTTGAGTCCGCGCAGATGTAGGAGTTGTTTGATAAATCTAATATTAAAGACTTTCATTTCTTGAAAATTATCCAAAATTCTTTTTATTCACTTCTGAGTAGGATATTATAGTACCAAATGAATGTAATCAGATTGATAAATAAGGGATTATTACCATGGAAATTGGCTGACTGTATCAATTATAAAATTATTATGACAACATATCATTTAATTTTTGACTGATGCTGAAAGATTAATCAATTTAGATTGAATTGTATTTGATTTATTGGATGTAGTCTCTTCTAGTATACCAATATTATCGAGATATCTGAAAGTGTAGGTGTTTGGAAATTCTAAATTTAAAACAGTACATAATAATTTTATTAAAATTATGAATATTTTTTAAATATTTTTAAGTTGAAGCTGTTTAATTTTTTGAACGATATTTGTCCTTCGCTATTTATCCAAAATTAAATTCTATATCAATTTTTTTATTAAGTTCAAAATAATTTGCAAATATAGGAAAAGGTAATTCATATGTTATCACCTGTCTCAAAATTATCTCCCATTTCTATTTATATTGATGGCATTTTATATTTTAAATAATTGATAAATTAAATTTATAAAGCATTATTTGCAATAAATTTCAATTAAAGATTATAAAAAAATTGTAGTAATTTTTTTACAGGGCTGAGAACCCAAACCCTTGATATTTTGTTGAACCCAAACCCGAACCCTTTTTTTAAATTTAGGGTTCCAGAGTCCAAGCTTTTTTTTAAAAAAAATAAATATTTTTTAATAGTTGAAGTCTTGAAGATATTATAATTCGCCTAAATAAAATTTTTAAAATAGAAATATATTATTTTTAAAAAAATGATGTTTCTGGTTTCCGAACCCCAAACCCATTTTTAGAAGGGTTCACAGCCCTGCATTTTTATAGTATAGATTTATTATATAGAATTTTTAAATCGTGCTACTTCACGATGCGATGGGAAAAATATGTATTGGAGCTTTACTTATATCGATATTGTTATCGCCTTTCATAGCAATTACCATTCATTTAGAATTGCCGAGACAAAGAAAATCCTAAAATATTCACATTTTTGTTATCATATTCATCTCATTGGTAGTATAAATTTCCTGTTCTTTTGGATAGGGCCAAATCTCGTTTCAAACTTATAAATCAAAGAAACACCAAAATCCACAATCTCAAAATTATTTAAAATTAAACAAAAAATAAGCTATGACCTTAATCCGATTTAATTTAAAATTATTCAAAGATTCATGACTACTATCTTATGATTGTGATGCAGAAAACTTATATTTACATTTTTTTTGTATGCTTTTTTAAAATAAATAAAATTTTTAACAATAAATTTTTTTTAAAATAATGTATTTGCATTATTGTGATCTCGAAAACATAAAAATGGATATAGAACATTATAATACCTAGCCGAAGATAAAAATAAAGGGAATATTTATTATAATTTTGGCATTTACTCAAAAATCTATATAATTACAATTGTTTTAGAGAATTCCACGACAACAATCTTAACAAAACTAACTTCGAAGACAGTATGAATGCATCAAAAAAGATTAAATCCATATATCAAAAGATCAACAAAATAGAAGAACCCTTGAAGCGTTACCTTCAAAGTTTATAAATATATTTAATTATTCGGACAGAATTTCAAGTTAAATTTAGTTTACATTCCAGACAATCTAATCATAGACAATATATGCGAAGATATGTTACATTTAGTAGAACAAGAACAACAAAAAGCTCTATGGGAACCAATTATAATGCTAAACACAAATTTTGGAACTCTATAATTTATACAATGTAGTATAAAAAATTGTGATATTTATTTATTCGCTTTTATTCATCATATAATATTTTCTTTTACAATAAACAAATTCGTGTCAAATCATATAAATTTTAATAGGTATATAAAATTTAATATTAACATTTTTAAAAGAATTGTAATTATTTTTTAAGATTATATTTATCTCAAATTTTAGTAATTATCATTGTCACTATCATAAGATGCAAATTTTGAAGGACTTAACATCGATCCGAATGATTTTGAGAGATTTAATATGTTATTAGCAGAATTGTTGAAATTTTTTCTTGTTGTACTCCATAATCGGGTATCACTTCTGTTCGAATTATAATTTTTTGGTTCAGCTTCAATTGTGGCATAATTCTGAGATCTGGTTTGAGTGTTTGCTTTAACGTTCGATGGAGAAAATTTGTAATGAAGGTTACCGTCTGTTCTTAAAGGAGTCCCTTTGATATAAATATCAGATATATATGATCCAAAGTGATTATAAAAAAAATTAATTAATTACCCCATGAAGGCTTTTGCGGAGACCAATAAGGATTGAAAGGATAGTTTGTAGGTTGAAATAATTCTGAATACAATATGAACCAAGCTAATAAAAATTTTTAATTTTAATACATTAGGAACCCAAATTTTTATTTACCAAATATGGCGCAAAAAATGGATATTGCTATGATTGCTAACCAATATAACCATTCCTGATAATCTTGGTATAAAAACGTAAAAAATCCGGAAAATCTAAGATCTGACTTGGCTTTAAGTTCATTTTTAACACAATCTAATATTGATAAAATATTGTATAATTAAAAATCCTTTATAATTTTATTTTAAATAATAAAAACTATTAGCAATAGTAATACAATAAGAGGGGAATGTTTTAAAAATTTTCAGCAATTATTTGTCAACCAAATAAAAGTATAAATAAATATGGAAAAACAATCATTATCTATAAATTTAATTTTCTATCCTATAAGTAATATACATTGGTTAAACATCTAGGATGATAAATTTGATTTTCCCTATTAAGATTTTAGCCAAAATAGCAGATAGTTTTGGACATCTATTTAGCAAATCAGTCTTACATAATATTATTTGGAAATCGAGATGTTTAACAACACTGGTAATTTATACAAATATTCTATTTTATGGTAATAAATCTCATTTTTCCAAAAGGTTTTGATCCCAAATTTAAACCTGGAATTAATGATAATCCAGGTATGTTAAAAGTGTATCAGTGCTATAACTAGGCCTAAGAAGGGAAGAGGGCAAACTTTTTTAGATAAAAAATGGACCAAACGATTTTTTTAGCCAAATTAAATGTCATTAATGTTTGCTTGGTAAAATTTAATTAGTTCTAATGGTTTCTAGAAAAGCAACATTTGAGCAAATTTGATATTTTTTTTCAGTGTCATATAATAGCATATGGAAGCAATACTTCTAAAGATTTAAGTCTATGGGAGACATCATAGAGGGGTATATAATAATATATCTAGGCATTTAAAGGACATCCTAAAAACATCACATTCAAAGAGGAATATGGGATGAAAAAACAACAATTTTTTTTAAACTACCAACATCGAGGGAACATGAAAATTTTTTAAAACATGTAAAAATATAAAATATTTAGGTAAGGGATGAGTGAGAAGGTGGGTCATTCCATGTCAAATGAGCAAAAAAAATGAGATTTTCGGCCGACCCCCTTCGATTTTTTTAAAATTTACTAAGCAAAGAAAGGTTAGTGTAGTTAAGAAATAGCCAAAATTTTAGCCTCGTAACATTTATATTTTCGGAGATATTAGGGTTCAAAGTGGCAAAAATGATGTATTTTTACCATTATCTGCCTTCATTCAATTAAGCATATCTTAAAAACTATCTAATTGTAAATAACAAATTTAATATCAAAATTACGTACAACGATTCTACTTTTAGATAAAAAAAAAAATTTTTTTTTTCAATTTCCGGCCATTTTATTAAATATATAAGGACTAAAAACGATTATCAGAATCTTTAGCATTTCATATATGGCGCCCTAAATATTAAAAATAAATTAATATAATATAACATTTAAAATCTAATATATAACTCACTTTTAAAAGATTCTAATTTTTCGGTAGCGCATTTACTTTCTTGTGACGACAATGTGTAACTACGGCCAGTAGCAGTTAACGGTGAAACTAATGTTAAGATATGACATTTTGGCAAGTAGAGAGTGTCGTCTATACTTGGAAATGTAAAGGAATTAGAAGGTCCGGATGGGTGTAAAAACTTTATATATATTTCTTCCTCCTTTTGATTTTTCCCTAAAACTAAGGCTAACCACCAATTAGAATCATAAACACATGTTATATACCCTGATATCTCTCCAAAAATGATAATCATTATATGATAAATATTCTATATTACTTTCTATTGAATTGGAATACATTTTACTCTTAAATTGATGTAGACCTGTGGGAATCACCGTGTGAATTTTCTGTGTTCCAGGTATAGGTCTCGTTTTTGAAAACCTTTCCCTGAGTAATATTTCTTCGTGATCATAATTTTCTTGGGTCATATATTCAAAATATATGCCATTAATATTTTCTTTAGCGAACTCGTACAATTCATATGATGTGGTTATTTGCTTTGAGTAAGGTCTTTGTAAACTAGCTCTAGCGGCTAATCTTTTAACAGTGCCACCAATCCCATCACAAACACTTTTCCCATGTGCTGTAGCAGAAAAATGCCATTCCGCCTGTATCCCGAAATCCATCTCATGATGGCAAATATTAACAAAATTTTTACGATTTTTATACTGTGCAGCAGATCCATCGGAAAAATAAAAAATTTTATTTGGCATACAAATTTTATTAATTAAAAAATTTACCAATGTTTTTTGGAAATAATGTACTGCTATTGTATTGTGTTGCAAAGATTCGGATATCATTACATAATTTAGGCAACAAATATTGGCTAAATTATCTTTATAATATATAACAAAAGGGTGAACAGTGGATTGAGCTCTATTCCAATGATAACTTTGTACTTCATCCTGAAGTATAAAGCTATAGTTTTCTGAAAAATCACATAAAATTAAATATTGGCCTTTGTCTAAGTTCAATTTTAGATTTTTTTGATACAATGATTGTTGCGTTTAAATAAAAGAATGGGGTAATAAAGATTCCATTTTTTCAAAAAAGGCATTGATAAATTCATCTACTGGCTTGGTTATTGTTTCTAGAGTGGTTCTATCTACGGATAGCCATTGTTTGTATGTTATAAATTCGATGTCCTTAGAACAAAACAATATTTCTATTTGATCGCGTAAATGTGTTGACCCTGGACAATTATCACATTTGCCCATATAACTGGATGGTTGAGGCGAATTACAAATTATTAAGTGTAAAATATGTTTGTATGTTTTAAAGGGCAACATATCATTGGTTAAATTGGGTAAATTTGATCCAATGATCATTAATTTAAAATTTTGGCGGTAGCTACAATCACATACATGTGTACCACTACCTCCTACGAGTATACAATTTTTTGGGCGAATGCTTGCAAATTTCGAAAAACCGATTTTAACATCAGGCCTCATTTCTTTAATAAATATATAAATTTCTTTCAAATTATCTAAAATTAATCTCTTTTGTATTGTATTCTTTTTTCCGTCTTCGGTCAAAATTGAAAGGCAATCTTTCTTGCCTGGCATGATTCTGCTTATTTCGTCCGTACAATAAAATTCTTACAATTTTAACTGTACATTCGTCTATAGTATTTCCAGGCTTGGGGTTAGGGGTTGATAAAAATCCCTTTTCCGCTATCAATAATTTAGCTTGTCTTGCCATGTATTTTGTTGTATTAAATTCATTCATTATTTTGGACACTGTCCAATTCTTTGGTAATATCGTCAAAATTTTATATTTATCAGTTTTAGATAAGAGTGAAAATTTTTTTTAATATTGCTTAGAAAACCATCATCTTTATCGATAGTAGCTGGCTCAATCGCATTTATATCTAAATGAGTTTCTATAGCCTTTTTTATTTTGGTAATTCTTTTAATTGGATATCTTTTTTCTCTCAACCTTTTCTTTTGTATTGGAGATTCTCCAATTTCTATCAATGATGTATTAATTGATTCATAAGCCAGGTTCTCTTCGATATGATGAATATCAGGGTCTTTAAATGCGTCATTTGACTTACTAGCTGTTCCGAGTTTTCTTCGACATTTATCACATATCTTATCATCTGAGTGAAGTGACATCCAAGATTGTACATTTCTAAGATTTGTAGTTACATTATTATGTTTTAGTATTTTAAAAGGGTTACAGCATCTAGTTTTTCGAATAAGATTTTTGTTCATTTTATTGAAATTCTATATGATAATACAAATTAATTTATAAAAATATCACCGAATATCTAATAATTACAGGTGTACCGATTAGGGGGTTAATCCGATACGATATTGCAGATATTATATTGATATCGGCCAAATAACCGATATCACTAATCTGATTTTGCTCGCTCTACATATTATATATTTTATCATAACTTAAAACAAATAATTATAATTTAAATTAACCTAGTATTTCAGGACTATTTATTCATGTAAAATTCTATATAAAATTTAGTAAAAATATGGTATAATCATTTTTTGTTCCAAAAACCCTATTTTGATGTAGAAAGTAACTGGTTAATTTTTGAAAAAATTTGATTTAGTTTTAAAACCAAAAATATCCTTATAAGACATTATTAATTATTTTCATTTAGTTTTTTATAAAATTTATCGCTTCAATTAAATAATTTTTTTACCTTTGATATTATAAGAATAATTAGAATTTATTATAAGAATAATTAGAATTTATTATAGTTTTTTTAAAATACCAAGAAATTAATTAAAAAATGAATTAATATAGTGAGCATGTGTTATTGAATGATTAATCAATTTTAAATTTTTCTTTATTTTATTGATTGAAACACTCATTTATTCTTATTTACAAGTAAAGCTATGCCGATTTTAGAAAATCCGATCCAATATTTATATTGTTTGGGTTATTGATGATACTTTTATTTTGTATATAATTTTATAATAATAATAAATTAATATTTGTAATATTTTATTAGCTTTTCCACGTCAATGGAAGAATTATAATTCTTCATATATTATTTTTTTTTGGTAAAAACAAAACAATAAATACAATGTACATAATATGGAGACACAAAAAAAATATAATATATCTTGACTTTGAAAAATTTATTTTTTTTGCGACGATCACATTATTTTAAAAAATTGATCGATATTTGGTGGATCATATTTTATTAATATTCGTTAAATATATGTTATATGGGCAAATATATAATAATTATAAATAATAATGTAATAAATTGAGTTTCTTTTATCGATGGATAATTTCTATACTTGAATGAAAGCCCCATAAGTGAAGAAAATATTATAATTTATATTTACAAGATGAATAATCCTTTAAATTATATCAAATAGTCCAAGAAAAACCATTAAAAACTGATTTAAATATAAATTTATGCAAAGACGCCCCCTTTCGGGAAAATATTTATACACTTTTCTAAACATTTTTATCGATTTTGAGAATGAAGATGGCCTCGTCCCAGACCAATTTTTTTTTATAAATATAAAGGAAGAGTTCAGTGTTGTCTACTAAATTTTTTAAAAAAATTGAAGGTCGTATAATTTCTAAAAAATCGTTTTTAGTCCTTATATATTTAATAAAATGGCCGGAAATTGAAAAAAAATTTTTTTTTTTATCTAAAAGTAGAATCTTTGTAAGTAATTTTGATATTAAATTTGTTATTTACAATTAGATAGTTTTTAAGATATGCTTAATTGAATGAAGGCAGATAATGGTAAAAATACGACATTTTTGCCACTTTGAACCCTAATATCTCCGAAAATATAAATGTTACGAGGCTAAAATTTTGGCTATTTCTTAGTTACATTGACCTTTCTTTGCTTACCAAATTTTAAAAAAATCGAAGGGGGTCGGCCGAATCGTGGTTGATTTGTCATGGAATGACCCAGGTACATTATTAAAATGTAAATAATTTTTCGCCTAGCGACTTTTATCATGACACTATCACAACGACATATCACTCAGTCATTTGATAACGCGACACTTGTTGATATACTTAAAACTTAATTTAATCTAAAAAGTTAAATTTTGATATCCGTTCAAATTTCGATATTTAAAAAATTTTAATTATTTTTTTATTGAAAAAACTAATATTTTATAATTATAATTTTTTAACTTAATTATTAGGTTATCAAGGAAAACAGGAGACATAAGCAATAAGAATGATTTCAATTTTTTTTTATTAGTAAGTAACTTTAAATCAATATATCACGAGTAAAAAATAAAAATTATTTATTGCATGAAATATGGGCAATAGCTTTTAAAAATGTTAAATATCCCGATAGTCCATAATTCGAAACACATCTGAAATCATTTTTTTATATCTTCATATTTCTTTGAGAGGTACGGTATTGTCCCCATTATGACTTGAAGATATAGGGTCTTATGTTTTTGAATTCCATCTAAAAATTTCTAAAGCGTAGGGTAAGAACATTGGTATAGAGCTTGAATTCCATAATGCCACCCTTCAATACAATTTGTTGTTCGGGCGACACCTTCTAACGCCGAATTGTGTTTGTTCCATAATCTTACATTATACAAAATTATTTCGTTGTCCTATAAATATATAAATTTACAACAAAAAATATATTTTTTTATTGGGATTTCTACGTCCTCGGATATAGGTCTTCTTAAAGTAGGAAATACGCTCAAATGAGCCATTCAATTCTCCAAATATTTCTGCCAAGTTAAGGTATCAAATGAATTTCCAACATCATCCTCTGGAACATATGCAAGGACAGATATAAACCTACTATACAATCGTTTATCATCATCAGACTCATACATTTCCCCAAATCATTTATTTTTCTATTAATTATGTTTTAGATGATTTCATCTAAGGACATTTGCGAATGGATATCCGGCCTAATCGTATTTTTTGGTGCCTTTTCGAAATCCACCACTATTTTATTCGGATGTGCCCCTGGTATAAATTGTTTTAGTTCCTAAAATAAAATTTAAATTATATATCTTAAAATATATAATATGATTACGTTTATCATCTTTGCATACTTATGCGCCGTTTTATTTGGTAAATTACAAAATATACTAACAGGTTTTGTGCCCGGTGCAATCTGAAAGTGGATGGTGTCAGTTATAATTTTAAAGGCACCATCACATATCCATATATCCGATCTTGATAATCCTTCGATTAGTTCGTCCGTGCAACATTATAAATCTTAAATTATCATTCCCAGACCCGGAATCGTATTTGAGCATATCCCTGTAACATTCCGGATATAAAGTGAGATCCATCGGATTGGAGGCAATATAATGGTTGAGCTTGATTTTTTATGCCAATGTAATGATGGATAAAGGGTGACTTATTTGACATAACCATAAATCTATTATTATCATAATTTAATAATGTAATATCGTGGGCCAAGGAAGGACTAGAATACTCACTTAATTTTGATTTCATCTCTATGTAGCATTTCTGGCATTAGATTTGGAAATATCACCTTCATGAGTATGATTAAGGGTACTTCTTAAAATATCATTAAATTTTGTTATTATAAAAGAATTGTATTTTTGAGATTTATTTTTGGCGTACCTCCAGCATGATTTAATTTTATTTATCAAAATTTCGTATATTCATAATTTTAATATAAGAGGTAGGTTTATTTTTTAATGTAAATCAAAATTCTAACATTATAATTAATAAAAATATATTCTATAATATATAATAATATAGAAAATTGAGCTATATATAGAATATTGCAAGATAAAGTAACTCATGATATAGTGACTGAGTAAAGTGTCCTCATGATAAAGTGTCACCGTTAAGTGTTACATGATAAAGTGACTCCAAATCATAATTTTTTAATTCTTTAAATTAAAAAATGCCACAATACAAATCGTGGTCAATATGACAACTTTTTATTGCTGGAGAAAAAGAAAAATATATTTTATGAATGTAAATTTTGCTCAAAATGCCATTTTTCTTCAAGTAACTACAGACTAAAAGATCATAATATAGTGTAAAAATGATTATACTCGAAAAGAAAATGGAATTTAACTTCTAACATCAACACATAATGAGCATGCACCAACTCCCTACCACCTTGTTCATAAAATTCAATAAAACCAATATATTTTTGAATTCTTTTAATTGTATCAGAGACCTAACGAGGTATTTTTACATCTATTTCTTAAAAAAAAAATCGGCCAGGGTGTATAAATTTTTCCTACATCCCTGGTTAAAAAAACATATCTATTCGGCATTTTACGGATCATTTTTAAGTGAATATGAGATCCATATATAATAACTTTTCAAATAATCTTATCTCCCCGTTTTTCGTAAAAGGAGTGAGTTTGTATTAGTGATCTGCATTAAGCCCGGCCCGAAATTTTTTGTGTAACCCGAACCAAAATATTTTCAAAAAATAGACTTACCCCAGATCAAAGTATTCTGACCCGGAGGAAGGGGGGCGAGCCTTGCAGATTACTAGTTTAAATCACCACACTGAATGGTCTATGGTAATTCCCTTATTATCTGTTCCTCTTGTAATTTAATATAGTCATTATGTAAGTTTCAATCATTTTGCGCTTTCCCCATGCAACATATGTAAATGCCAAAGAAAAAGAGAGATAAAATGATACATATCTAAAATGAAAATTTCGTTTGAAAAGTATTATATTTTGAATATCGAGTATATCTTTGTTGCTATTAATTGATTAAAAATCACCTAAAATAATGATTTTGGAATAATTAATTTGGATAATATTTTACTGGAAATATTTTTTAAGAATCGAAAAATGGAATTAAGAAATATGATAATCTAATGAATGTAACATATTGTTTGTTCTATGATGCACAATTTTTACATATATTATATATATTTTTAATTTTTATAAATAATAATGTCGATTTAAAATAATCGACAAAGGCCGAATATTTTTTTAGCCCCGGCCTGAGTATATTTTGGAAAAAATAGGCCCGGTCCATGTATATAGGTTTAGGGTCGGGCCTGAAGGTCTCTGATTTGTATTGTTAAATTTATTGTATTTTAAAATTTCATAATAAATGATTGTGAAAATAAAAAATTTTCAATATAATATTAATATTGTAGCAGCAAAATAATTTTTTTAAATAAACGAAAAAAAACAAGGCTTTTCCCCCTAGGAATATAGCTTAAGAAACATATCCTAATTTCATTAAACATTTTGAATTGTAGGATAGGATCACATGTTCCTGTGAGTATATTTGTTTTAATAGAAAACAATCTATTTTATGCGAAAAAACGATACTTCACAAATCAAAAGAGGAAAAGTTTATATTTTTATAAATATACTAATTAATAAAGGTGAGAAACTATATAGAGATATATCTCAAAAAATAAATAAAACGATTTTATTGATAAAATTCTATATTTAAATCTAAGTTTAACGTGGGCAGTTTTGAGAATACGATTATTCGAACGAAATTAGAAATTTTTCACCTTTTCTTTAAAAATCAATAAAATCACTAGTGTTAGGTTGCATAAGTGGAAAAAATCTATGACTGTTACACTTTATATAATGGGAATATACAAAATATAATATATTAGTTTTAATTATAAAAACGTTTGTATTGTATGCAGCCTTAATCCAAAAATAGTCATTTATCAAGAATATCGGATCTAGTATATAACCCTACAATGAAGATGTAAATCATTAAAATAGAGCTCATCAGTTAGCAGAAGAACTAAAAATTTTAATTTTTTCTTTTAAATTTTATATAATTAAATATCAAAGAAAATAAAATGATATTTTCTCTTTTCTTATCTAAATAATATGGAAATTAGAATTCTTTGTATAATAATGCGTTTAATATATTAACTTTAATTAAATATTTCGGGCCTAAAATCAAATAAAAATCTAGAGCTGGGCTGAAATATTGAATTGTTATAATTTTAAAACAATATTTTATAAATTGAAATTTGAAACGATTTTTTTTTAGTTGTTTATTGAATATATTATAAATTATTTCATTAGGAAAAGCAAATCCTATAAATTCTGACTAGGGTGGCTAGCATTTATATTATTGGTTAATATAAAAACTACAATTAAGGTGTATAATAAATTCTTTACTATTATTTCTAATTAATAAGTTTACATCTTTTAAGAAATGATATAAAAATATTCTAACTTTTAATTGTTCCGTGTGCCATAAAATTTTTTCCATTATTTTTAATGTTTATTAACATGTTTTCTTTTTGATCGCTTAGTGGACTATAAACATATATAGTGTATGCTATATCCTTCTCTGCTAAAAGATAATCTTTAGATTTCACATTAAGTTTTAAAGTATAAATAGCAATGTTGCGATTTTGATTCTCTGGAGGTATTATTTCAATAATATTAAAATCGGATTGAGATTCTGAAGGAAGAAACTATCGATAATGTAAACAAAAAAAATGACTTCATTTATAAATAAAATATAAATTTATTTTTATCATTCCCATGCCTGGTTTTTTTTTCTGGAGAAGAGGGATAAAGTTTCGATTGAGAATTATTATAAGATTAATAAAATTTTGAATAGTGACCAGACCTTGACCAGTTTCAGGTGGGGGGGGGGGTAGGGAATGTAAATTTTATATTTAATTAATGATTAATAGAACTAAGAAAAACTATATCATATAGAAAAATCAAAGTAAACAAAAAAAATGTTGTATACGAACCTGTATAGTGAATAATATATTTTTTGAAGGTGATATAATTTTGAAATATGTTTCGGTATTATCAGATGATACAAATAATATGTTGGGTTCGAGACGAAAAGGTGGATGGTATGATAATCGTAGATTAGAAAGCAGAGAAGATTCGTCCATATCGTTACCATTCATTGTTATATGTAAAGCGAGGGAGGGTAAAATTAAAGAATGATGAGAAATATCCATATTTTTCAAAGAATTCGAAATAGTCTTTACCGAGCAATAATATATTCCTATCAATTTAAAATGAAAATATGTTAATATAAATAGATACAATTACAAATTATAAAAATTTTCTGAAATTATAATATACCCAAAATAAACGAGATGGGGTCGGGGACTGGAAAGTAAAAAAGACGTCAATACTTCATTCAATAATCAATATAAGTTTAGCATAAATTATTAATTAAAATATCAATAAATCAAAACACGAATTAAAATATGTAACTTTGTATTGTTAAATTTATTGTATTTTAAAATTTCATAATAAATGATTGTGAAAATAAAAAATTTTCAATATTGTAGCAGTAAAATAATTTTTTTAAATAAACGAAAAAAACAAGGCTTTTCCCCCTAGGAATATAGCTTAAGTAACATATCCTAATTTCATTAAACATTTTGAATTCTAGGATTGGATCACATGTTCTTGTGAGTATATTTGTTTTAATAGAAAATAATCTATTTTATGCGAATAAACGATAATTCTAAATATTATTTTTGCCCAGCTATAAATTGTGTTACATATCCTTTTGCGTTAATCATTCTTTGTAGCATTTAATTAAGATTCTGGCATATCTGAGAATCAATTTACATTCAAGCATAAATTTATTTTTGAAGAATACTTTGTTAATTCGCTGCTTTCGAAGCTCTAGTTTGAATATACACCAAAGGTGAAGATGATAATCCAACAATATATCAACCGAGTGCCATATGAGGTTACAAAATGGGCCCGGAGGAAATCAGGCGTGAACGAATGGTTAATAACTGCAGTGATGGCTTTATATGAATAGGTAGGAAGTGGTTCGAACTTATGATGGGGATAGTGATAAAGTAAACATCTAGATCTTTGTCAATTTTATTTTAGTAATGGATGTAATGGCAAGGATAAGATATGCTTGTAAGAAATTTAGAGAGATATAATGTCTCCCTCTCGTGAAGGGAAAAGTTTATGCAAACGGTATGAGAAGTTGTATGATATAGGGCAGCAAGACATGGGAAATCAAACGCGTGACGCACGACGCCAAGTTAGAAAGAACGGAGATGAGATTGATCAGATGGATAAGTTGCGAGAAAGAAAAACAAGCCAGGAATTGAGAGAAAGGATTGGGATAGGAGCAATAAGTGATGTTTTAAGAGTAAATAGACTGAGATGGTTTGAACATGTTAACGGAAATATGATGATTGGATAAAAATGCCTTTGAAGTGGAGGGAAAAAACCCAGAGGGCGACCAGGGCAAGCTGAGTGGAAGTGCTAGATAATGACAGGAAAAAGTTAGGTTTGATCCGGGATGATGGCGCGTAAAATGAAGAAAGGATTAGAGCCATGGTGATATTTGGTGCTTTTATCATAAAGATTAAGTGTAATTTGTTTATTTTTATTCCCATAAAGTTAATCATCTCATTTATCTCTTTGCCATATATTGTTTGTAATCTTTCTGGAAAAATTTACCGGTTTCCTATTATGAGGCTAGTTAATTGGTCCTTTTAAAAGGAGAGAATCACGATCTTTTTTAAAAAAGGGATTGAAATCCTGGATCTACCTTTAATAAAAAAAAATTCTGAAGAACATTTATGCTCGATTGTTTTTAATTTCACTTGATTCTTATTTCTTTTGGCGATTAAATTATTTTACTATATTTGATGAATTAAATTAATATTTGGTTATAATATAATTTTTTAAAATTAAATAAATTTGAAATAAAATACCAAGCGATGTGTAAATTAATAAAATAAAATCATATTTATATTCTTTGAATTTTTTAATATTTATACATGCATTCAATACTTCTGAGCAAGAAAATAATTTTTCTGTAAGTATTTTTAATACAATAATTTTTGATCTATGATTAATTAAACCTAAAAATGATTTTATAATCTATAAAATCTCAGTCTTTTTTGTCATTTATCCATTTGATGAGTATATCTTTAAAAAAAAATTTTTTTTGTTTTAAAATATAAAATCATAAGATATAGTAGTAAAAACATTAATTGTGCAAAAAAGCTCTAATAATTGACACGTTAAGATACAGGGTCGTAGACACGGAAGAAGGGCCCCGGGGGACCCCCCCCCCAAAAAAAAACCAAAATAGGCACTATAAATTTTTCAGGCACCCCAAATTTAAAAAAAAAATTTGTAATATATTATTTTTATATTTTTAAAATATTTTAAATATTTTTTCAAAAAACATGTCTAGTTTGTAAAATTTCTTTCTATCCTGTTATATTTTTATCCAATAATAAATCATCAATTCGTATTTAATCATTTTCATGTGTGTTTGAGTATGACATTATATAGGTTCTTAATCACGTTTTAATTGTACTTATTTCAATGATAATTATTTTATAATTATGGTTCAATCACAATATTATTATTATTATTATAATATAACCAGTTATTTAAAATAGAGGTGAATATTTTGGAATTATGAAGAAAATACTGAGATAACAACAATTATGGTAAGCCAACAGATTAACCGTAATAAGGTTACGTTTAATCACAGGTAGAGTCGATGAAAAATCAATGCAAGCAAAATTTAGTATTGATGGCTAATGAAAAAAAATAACACAAAATTTATCCTTTAATTCATTTATGTTAAAATTTAAAAATAAAAACCGTCGTATTTGTATATTCATATTATAGTATTATTTTGTATTCATACTAGAGATCTGCAAAGTTAGGCCCGGCCCGTTTCCGGCCCGAACGGGCTTCAAGCCGGGCTCAGGCCTAATTTTATTTAAAATAATCGGGTTCGGACCGCGCCGAATATTTTTAAAAAAATTCGGGTCGGGTCGGACTTTGGAATTTTTTTAAAATATATCTAAATTTATCAATTTTATATTGAATTTTTTATGTAAAATAAAAAATATTTGATTTTATTTATTGAAACTAAACGACATATAACATATGTCTTTTATTTTGAGTAATAAAAATTAATTTCTATATTTAAATAAATTCGGGCCGGGGCGGCAAAACATTTTTAAAAAATTTCGGGCCGGGCCGGGCTTGAAAAATTAGGCCCGATGCAGATCACTAATTCATACTACATTAATAGATTTTTAATAAAAATAGCAAAAAATTTCTATGAATGGTTAATTATTTGTTTTATTTTCAAAAAATAGTGGCCCCCTCAAGTAAGCAGTTGGCCCTCCTAGCTGAAAATTCCTGGTTAGGGCTCTGAAAAGATAGTATCGTAAATATACATAGCATATTTTAAAGCAAGCTATAAAACTGCGAAAAATATAAATTACTCCCATCTAGGGGTGTACCGATACCACTTTTTGGACGCCAATCCGATCCAATATTCCAGATATTAAATTGATATCGGCCGATTACCGATCCGATATCATATTTAATTTTGTATTCTGTAAAGATACCAATGGTTTTAATTTTTAATATACTTTTTATAGTATAACATCTATAATTTAACTATACCATAACTTATGTCATTTTAATATATTATAATGATCAGTTATAGTTTATATTCAATTCAATTGCAATTCTAAAAGTATATAAAATATTTTTATTGATAAATCATTTATTTATATAATATCTATTTACATAATTAGTAATAAACAAATATATTATGAAATTTGAAATAAATATTTAAATTAATATATCGAAGATTTCTTTTTAGAAATACCAAAATTTCCAATTTATCAGAGATTAGTCTGCGGTGATGGGGACTGTCAATATCTCAATATCACTAGCATCACTAAAAACAGATTCAATAAAATATTATTGCACACTTTTTTAAACAGAATGCGAAAAAATACAATATGGAAGTATGTTTATTAACTAATTGTTATACTTATTAAAAAAATTAAACATAATAAAAATGGATTTCGATTTTATTTATAAATATAAATGATTTTTTAGATATAACTTTTTTTAAAAATTTCATAATATTTTATTTTTGTTAAAAGTGCAATTTTTTATCGAATCGTAATCGGAAAATTTTATATTTGCCGATAACCGATATTTTAAAATTGGTGAAATATCGGCTCGATCCGATATAAAATATCGGTACATCCCTACTACCATCTCAAAAATGGAATAGAATATCAAGAATATATATATTAAATTGTATAAATTGGATTGCACTATCCTTAAAAAAGTTAGTGAAAGATGAAATATCAAAAAATACGGTATCAAGGTTACTATCCGAATTTAGGTATCGTTTTAAAAGAATATCTCTTAAGTTCAGTTAGGAAGAATACCGAATTCGATATTGAGATCGCAAAGAATACGCAAAATGATTTGTGGGTGCAGCTTATATGAAAGAAAATTTTATTTTTTATCGATAGAGCGGTTTTTCAAATCCATAAGACCGTTATATGGATATCCACAAATAAATAAAAAGGTTATTAAAAATGTGCAAGAGAAAAAGAGAATGAATTATACTATCATTGCTGTTCTCATGATTGCGGGAATATTCAGATTCGAGGTTAATGATGGCCCCTGCAACGCTATACAATATAGCCATTTTGTAAATATTTTGAAAAAAATAATAAATATGATTTTTGTGATGGATAATGTTCCATTCCATCATAACCATACAATTAGGAAATCGATAGAAAGGAGAGGACATACAATAAAATATCTACCAACATACAGCCCTTATCTTAATCCCATTGAGAATGGGTATTTTTAATGGAAAGATTTTGTTAGAAATCATCAAGTTTTATAGAGCATGGAAAGGATGCCTATTTTAAAAATATGAAGATTTATATTCAAAAATGTAAAAGAGCGGAAATTATTAATGATTAATATAAATTTTTGTTTTTTTATTATATATACATATACATTGTAATGAAATAATATTAATAAAATAAAATTTGATTAACAAAATAAAAATTAAGTGAAAAATTTCAAAAATATAAATATAAGGATAAAAAAATATTGTTATGTGAGATGAAAAAAAAAGGAAAAAGATTTGTTAAAATGACATAAAAATAGAGAAGTGAATAAAAATGACAGGGAAAATAAATAAATTATTTTTAAAAAGATAAAAAAGAATGACCAAAAAGAGAAGAAAAAATATTAAAAACAACTTAAAGTTAACGCAAAAAATTACAAATAAAATTTAAGAAAAATTGACAAATTTTAAAAAAATATCCATTTTCCTTTTTTGAAAGGGAATTTTCCTTTTTTATTGACACTTTATTTTTTAGGAATTTTTCTTTTTTTGATCAGACCTTTTCTTTTTTGATAAGGCTTTTCATTATTTTAAGCAATTTTGTGGGTTTGTATATTTAAAATGCATTTTTTTTTCAACCCGTTTGAAGATCTAGAGGTAAAATGGCAGGGGATAAAGTCATAAAAATTAATTTTTACATTTATTCTATTAACTCCAAAAATCGTTTCTATAATTCAAAATTACAAGAATTTCCTTTTTTGTCTAATAAAAAAGGAAAAACAAAAAAAATCTTTACAAATTTAACACCTTACCCTACATAAATATTTATATCAAATAAAAGTTTTGAAAATGAGGTGTACAGTATTGTAGCATTATAAATTCGCTATAAAATACATAATGAAATGAATATTTTGTAAGCTAGCTACTCGTTTTTCCTCGGTAATATTAACAAGTGAAAATCGCTAGCTGAATTCTTACCCAAATTTTATATTTACTTTTAAAAACTAAAAATAATTTTTTTTTAACTAAAAAAGAATAAAATGTCTGCCGTCCAGACCCCATAATTACTTATTGTTAAACCATGAAGAAAATTTATCATAATTATTAGTATTTGAACTAAATAAAATATAACCAGTGTTTTCATCGATCTCCACCTGGGTCTCAAAAATTTTATCCAATTGAAATAGAGTGTCAACGTTAAAATCTTTATCAACGTGGTTTTTAGAATATGGAATTTCCCAAAGTAATTTACACACGAATATTTTACTTAAATGATAAGTAATTTCTAATTTGTCGGAAATTGATTCTTTTAACATTTTGATGCAGTTCTTATCTATTCATATAATGAGAATTAACTATTTATTATAGGCGAATAAATAACTTATCCTAAATGGTACGTCACTATTATGTTCAATTGCTACTTTAGTGATATAATCTAAATAATGAGTTCTGTTGAACCCTGATTTAGGGTCAAATTTAAAAGGAAATCTATGATTGGTATTCAGAACAGCATTGGAAACATAAAGAGAATCTTTTGCCTCATAGTTCTTTGTTATTTTATATACCTTATCTTCAAGATTATCATCACTACGACTTACAACTATATCCGCGAATCCGGGTAGGAATTTTAAGCTTTGTATAGGTTTGATTAAAAGCTTGAATAAAATATATTATTGTATTAAAAATAAGTAAATCTTGTTTGGTAATAAAATATCTTTACAATAAATTATAATCAGAGATTCCAAAAAAAAAAACAAAATGTTAATTTTAAATTACATTAATATAGGTTGAACAGTTATTATAGCGATAAAATATCTTTTCTTCCCCAATATCTTTAATCAATCCTAACCCAGATTTTGAATTCATAAATAGTTTATTTTGTTCCGTATACCACAAACAGTCAGGACCTATTTTATAAATTCATGTCAATTATATTATAAATATATTCCGCCATATTATGTTTTATTTTCATTTAGGAATATGTATACTATAACTTTTAGCTAAATAAGAGGTGAAACAAACGATTGCCCCAAAAGAAACACTCGAGAGAGTATTTGGCGGCATATGGGAATCTATAACGTAACCGCTATTTATAATGACATAATCAACGAGTCGACTATTTTTTGCATATAAATAGCCAGGGACCTTGATCTCTATTCTAATAATTGTTTGTCCTGGGTATAGTAAATGCAATTCAGGCTGATTTCGTAGTGAAGTATCGTGTATTGACAATAAATCATATCTTTGAACAAAATTTATTTGAAAAATTAAGATAAAATTTAACTTAATATGAACCTATTTAAACGAGATTTATGACTAAAATCGAAAGCATCGAACACGGTTCCGGTATCATCATGCACTCTGATTATCAAATTGATGAGACTTCCAACTGGAAAATGAGGCAAATTAACGCCTTTTTGGACATTTATTTCTTCAGAACAGATTGTCGATATGTAGGAAATAGGTTTTACCTAATAATATATTTTTTAAATTCTGTGTATTTAACTTATTGAATAAATTATAGATTTATCCCTCATGATAAAATTCATATAGAAACAGATGTTATAAAATTAAAATAACTCGAATGATGAGGTGAGCGGTGTGATTGGTTTGTGTATCCGCGTCAAAAATATGAGCTGTAATAAGAATATTCGCAGGATAACTCATACTATCGGCGTCATGCTTCTCATTAAGGTTAATTTTAACAAGCCCTGAACTTGGATCAAATATGACAGGAGAAGAAGATTGGCTTTGGCTTAGGTAAGTTTGTTTTTGCAAATCTTTGATAGAATATTTTATTCTTGACTTACTAAGTTCACCTGAAAATTTAATGTTAATTATAAATAACATAATAGTTAGAATTGTACTCATGTGAGGAGAAAATATTTTAGCTTCCGAATTCGGAGACATGAGCAATATAGGAGCCGTTTTAATATCTGCAGTCTTAGGACAATTCAAGCAATCATTTCCATCCTTAAAAATGTGTAATCTAGACATATGCGTTGTATGTAGATGAAATGGCTCAATGATCTGTAATTTTTTCAAAATAGTTGCAATAAACAAAATATTTAAAAATCAATCATTTCATAATTTATAAGATTTTTACCTCGATTAGAATACTATCTACAAAATCCAAAGGTATTTCTTTCAAAGATTTATCTCTATTTTTGACGCGAGAAATTAAACTTATTAAATGAAAAAGAGAATCGTCTTTTTCTTCTCCATCATTAAAAGATGCGGTATATCTTACATAGACCGAAACTTTACATTTACCAGGTTTGAGGGCTTTAAACAATTTGGCAAAGTCATCTGTATATTGATAACAAAATTGTTATAATTTTTGTAAAAAAATATCTGAATAGGAATATAATATTTACTATATTTTATGTTGTCAAGCATAAGGTTTGGAGTCTCAGAAGGTGAAGGATGCCAAGCTAATTGAGCTAGTGAATTATCTTCCATCACCCAATCCACTATGACAGGAGGATTTTTACTACCAAAACTGAACATAGATATAATAGGGGTCTGTCCATCATCTCCGTATATATATAAAGGCATCTATCATATAATTATGAAAATACAAGAATGCAAAACATGCCATTATGTTTTTTTTACCTCATTTCCAACATATATTTTGTTTATTGGTGCACTTATATGCATACCTGTCAAGGAAACTATCCTTACGTGGGCTAGAGCCTAGGAATTAATATTATAAGTGCAAGTTATATCAAAAATATATTAAAAAAATTATAACCTCACATTCATATTTTTGATTGGTATTATCAGGCATCATATTATATTCACTCATTGCGGCCTTCACAATCAATTTACCGAAAGATAAAGCAGTTATGAGTCCATCTCTAGTAATATTTGCCACAGGAGTTAAATCGTCATCAATAACATGATTAAAACTTTCATAATTTAAAATTTCGTAATCTATCGACGAATCAGAAAGCAAACCACCAATATGTCTAAACTTTTGATTTGTAAGATAATAAATTTTAGAGTTAAATTCTTTTGAAATATAATTTAAAAAATATTGCGACTCTTATAATTAATTAAGCTTTAAATCCCTCTTATAAGGATATGTTTTAAGAATATTTTATAATAGTTTAATTATGATACTTGAAAGACAGCTCCGGGAATTAAAGTTATTTGAGAGGGTTCTATTTTCAATGAAGGAAATACTGTTATCTCAAATATAGTAGAACTAATTATTTCATCCTTTTTTTCTATAAAATCTTGGCCGTATCCTTTAATAATAGCCTGTGATATTATAACCTCAACGGCTAAATTAGTGACACCTAATTGTAGACCAGTAACGACAAAAATGGAGCTAAAGGAATCGTATTTCGTTTGTTTATTATTTGAAGACGATAGAAAATATTTGCTGTCAAAAATTATATTAAAAAAAATAGATTATGCATCATTAATTTATTAGTTAGATTTAGAGCTGTACCGATCCGATATTTAACGTGTTTAAAAAATATCGGATCGGCCGATATTTAAAAACCCGATCCGATCTAATATTTTTAATGTTTTGGGTTATTTAATGATTTTAAATATAATTATATATTTTTTAATTTCTTTTAATAAGAAACTGAAAAAAGGAATCAAACTTCAATTAATAGATAGAGTAGCTAAAAAAGTGATGCTATATTATATGTATAAAGAAAATTACTTATATGTATCTAACAAGTCATATACAGCTAGCTAGGGTTATTAAATGGTTCGATTTTGCCGATTTTAAAAAGTCTAGCTCAAGATTTTCGCAAAAATAAAATACCCAAGATTGGAGATTTTGGCCACAGATAGTAAATAGGTTTAAAATTTATTGTCGAAATATATAGGTAATAATATTTTGGATATAAAAAAATAAGCTAAATCAGTGCGTTTAATAAAATTCGGCCATAATCATTGCCCATAGTTTAAATGATGAATTTTGAGAATAAAAAACATAAAATACCCTTTGCCATTCATGGTTACATGACAATGGTTAAAGGATAGGTGATAAATAAAAATTATATCGGTATCGGTTGTGAGAGCGGTTTGTATTTAGATATAATCGAATCGGTAAAATAGTAGATCTGCACAATTAATCTAACCTAGATTAAATAGGTTATTGGATTCATATCATCTATTAAATGTCGGAAAGAAATATTAAAAAAATTGAGATAGGACAAATTTGATAGATAAAATTAAGATGAAAAATATATTTAATATATTTGTCCCTGGCGTCTATTATAATGATCCTGCAAAGATATAAATTGAGTATTTTATGATGAAATTTTAAATATATAATTAAATAAACATTTTATCTCATAATTTATATATAAATTTTAATAATTCCCGTACCAAAGCCCTACCCACAGGCTTGTTAACCCTGAACGCAGGTCCAGTATTTTTTTCACACTCGGACTTATAATTTTTTTTATCTTACGTTCAAACAACCCTTTATTTATTTTTATCTTAAACTGAACTCCAACCTAGAGGTCTGTACTCGGCGGGATTTCGGCTCGCCCGCCTAAGTGAGCGGGCAAAAATTTTTTTAAGAACGGGCAGGCGGGCGGATTTAAAGATTTTTTAAACTATGGGCGGATTAAGAAATTTAAGTAATGAGCGCGTGGGCTAAAAAAAATTTAAAATCATTTAAGTAAATATTAATAAAAAATGGTTCTTATGAACTTTTTGGATATTAAATATTAAAAAAAATGTCCTATTTTGGTATCATAAAAACTCTTTTGTATATTTAAAACTACTTTGGTGGAAACAACAAGAAAGAGATTTGCCAAAGCTATCAAGATTAGTAAGAAAAATATTGAAAATTCCTGCAACTAGTGATTCTTCTGAACGAGAATTTAGCATTACTGGAAGGTTTTTAGAACAAAGGAGAACTTGTTAGAATCTGAGAATGTCGATTCATTATTATTTTTGCATTATAATTACAAATAATATCTTTATATTTATATTTTTTTCATAAATATTTTATTTGATCAAATAAATCATCCATAATTTAAATTCAATATTTTTTTTGCTTAATATAGTAATTTCCATAATTATAAAACTTCTTGTAGAAGTGTAATACTGAAATATTTTTATTAGATGCTTAAAAAATTGAAAGAATGGCCATAAATAAATTTTATAATAGCGGGCTTGGGTTATAATTTTTTTTATATAATGGATGGACGGGAGGCGGGTAAGGAATTTTAAACTAATGGGTGGGCGGGCGAATATATTTTTTTTGAAGACAATGGGCGGGCGGGTTAATTTTTTTTAAATATTGGGTGGGCGGTCTTATGGTTCAACTCTCCCCCCCCCATTGCAAACCTCTACCAACCTAACTAAAACACATAAAAAATTTAGTGGATTTATTTTGAGTAGAAATTTATTCTGAGGCAAAAATAGACCAAAAAGATGAGAACGAAGGTTAGGATTGTGAACCTGATACTTTTTAACCGGATTCAGTTCTATTCCGTTCAGGTCAACATTTCTTTGAACATGGAATACCTAGGTTGGGCCTTAAAATTATATTATTTAAAAACACAGGGACGAAAAATATATTATATAATTATACTATCGATACACTAAAACCAAAATTACCAATATCTTATAGATCTGAGCGAATTCCAGCCATAAAATATTCAACTTTTGACCCATGCCGGATTTTTTTAAAACTCAGATAGGGCCAGTGTAGTATTGTAAAATCAATACCGCATTGATAATTTATGATCGAACCTCATCTTTTACGAATAAAAATCTAAAATATAATTTACAAATTTTTGAATCGACAATTATGGATTAGCATATCGCAAAATTTTATAGATTCTCATTCAATCAATAAGGTACATTTAATTTGTTTGAATTCATAATATCATTTACAAAACTTTGAATCAATACTTATAAACAATATAATTTTAACCATATGAAGAAAATTATTACAAATAATGAGTAAACAAATAAAAATTTCAGAATTGTGAAATAAATAAATTCCCTGAAAAAATTATATAAAAGAATAGAAAATCATTTTTATAATCATTTAAATATATTTAAAACTATTAAATCTAATTTAAATAAATTTTTTACAAATCGAAAATGGCCGCCAATATTTTTGAAGCGATGAAAAAATATATAATAATAAATATTTTACAATTTTAATGGCCACCAATATATTTGAAGCGATAAATAAATATATAATAATAAATATTTTACAATTTAAATGACCTCTAATATATTTGAAGCGATGAAAACATCTCCTAAAAAGCAATGGCATTGATTCTACAATACCAAAATATTACGGTATTGAATCTAAAATGATAATATCAATACGGTATTGAAGCTACAATGGGTATGATTTCACAATCCTACACCGGGTTAGGAAAAGAGAAAATTTGCTAACCTGCCTCAAGCTTGAAAATGGGTACATATATAGGTTTCGATTTATATATGGTTCATTTGATGAAAGAATATATTTTACTGCTCAAAATCAAAGTTTGACATTATGAATTATTTATTATCATTAATTTAAATTAGGGGTGTACCGATACCATTTTTTGGAGGTCGATTCGATCCGATATTACCGTTATTAAATTGATATCGGCCGGTTACCGATCCGATATCATATCTGATTTTGTATTCTGTAAACATATTAACCGATTTAATTTATAATACATATATCCACTCATCTCATATACTTTTTAATAGCATAAAATATATAACTTAACTATACCATAACATATGTCATTTAAATATATTTTAATGATAAGAGTTTTCATGAATGTAAAAGTATATAAAATATTTGCTACTCAAGTTAGTGTAAAGAAATGTTTTCAAGAATAAAATAAATATTTTCAATTCTGTGATCTTCAAAGATTATTTTCTCTAAATTTTGGTCGACTTTAAAAAATCTTATAAGATTTTTTTAATTAAAATTTGATTAAATGAAAATTCGTTTTTCTCTCAAATTTGTTTATAATCTACTGATCGATCTCCATTTAAAAATAGCTCACTCCAACACTCGATAACGCGTTTAAAGTTAATAAATAAAACCAATATCTTTATTTTAAAAAAGTTATAAAACATAAGTAATAATTAAAAATTATAGAGTAAAACCTGGCTATGGTGAACCTAAATATGATGACCTTTTTATTAGTCTCCAAATGTATTCACGATAGCAAGATTTTCTTTATTTATATCATATAGAAACCTGACAGAAATTAAATTAGAATCTCCGATGATAGGCCTAATCGTAAGAAATGAGAGATATTCAACATTGAACGGGTTACCATATGAATCACTAATTGATACTTTGGCTAAAACTTCATTCCCCAATTCAATCTTACAAAGATATAAGTGTCAATTAAAATACAATTAGGTTATCATAATTAAAATGTGATGAATATTATACTATATCATCTAAATTTAAATTATATGTAATTCAATATTATTTTTTTCTTAAACTTGTGAATAATTTAAAAATTATTGATTTGTAATGTTGGTTTTAACTAAAAATTTAATGGGTTGTATCTTTAAAAAAATAAAATAGAAAGTCGACCTTATTGGGGACATCGAGATGTACAGAGGTTATGTCGGTAACTGTAATAATACAAGTGCCTTGATAACTTTTAAGATTAAAATCCATCGGCTCAAAACATAAATCGTATACAGTTAAAGTTGTTTTGCCCTGTTTCAAAGGCCTGACTCGCAGCATATTTATCTGATTTTCCTCTTCATCACCTACGATCATCGTGTGCTGAGAATCAACTATATCGACAATTTTCTCAATCGCAATCTTAGTAGACATTATAGGGGACTTATCCGTTATGTAATAGTAACCCGATCCATGTGTAATATTTATTGTACCCTTAGATCGGAATGTGAAAATCATGTATTTATATTTAATCATTGAAGAAAAGAAAGAAGCTTAGACATTAATAAAATCAAAATATAAAAATGAGTTTAGTTTACTAAAATGGATGGATGATTAATAATAGTTAAAGAGGGTGGGAAGGTTTCCAGCTCTCGAACAAGTTTAAGCTTGATGGTAGAGCTCAAAGGTTTTATAGTGTGCATCAATCTTCCCAAATCCATCTTGGCCTCTTTCAAATATTGCCTGTATTCGTTAACTTTCGCCTTTACTTCCACTATCCGCTCCGTTTCATCGTTTGTCAAGATATCAATCTTGGGGTGAAATATTTGCACGTCTAAGGCATTCATAGAGAATTTAAAACATTTTGAGAAAGTTTTTTCAATATAAGCTATATGAGAAGGAATTATTAAATATTTCTAATTTTTAAATAATTCTAATATTACCATAAGTAAACGCCTATCTAAAAATTCATCAGAGACATGCAAAGGTACCATTTGTACGGCCTGGCCCAGATTTTTAAAAAAATCGGCCAGGCCGACCCGGATTTTAAATAAAATATATTATATTTATTTTTTACAAATAATAATGACGTTTTAAAATATTCGGACTGGCCCGAGTATTTTTAAAAAAAAATTGTGGCCTGGCTGGCCCTGGTATGTTTAAAAAAATTAAAATAAGGCCAAACCCATCTACCAGGGCCGGGCCTGCAGGTATCTGAAATTTAAGGTATATTTTAAAATATGTATTGAATCTTAGATGATCAGGTTTATGATATAATATAATAGGATATTACATTGATATGAAACAGAATTCTGGGGTTCAGAATGGAATCCTTTGGGTTTAAACTTAATTGTTTTAAATCCTTCATCAAATTGCAAGTAGCCAAATGTTTCGGGGTATATTTCCCACATGATGTCTAAGGAGGAAAAATTATAAAATGTTGTACCATATTCATCTTCCATATCAATTGATATTTCCAAATCTCTATTAAATAAATGTGGTACGATCTGCAAAATTTAAAAAATATATAATAGCATCATGTGGTGCTAAAGATAAAGTAATTATCTTAATATCATAATATTAAAATCTAAAATTACGTTATTATTGGAAGAATGTAGCAATGGACATTCAGGTAATTCTAACTGATCCATAATCTTGGGTGGTACTCTTATTAGTGGTTTTAAACGAATCAAAACTGGCTCAGAACAGGAAACACTTTGCGCATATAAAAATGAAAATATTTTAAACGATTAAAACAGGATTCTTAACTAGAGATTCTGATTATTTTATATATCATGATTATTGATCAATATTTGTGAAAAATTTGTAAAAAAAAATTATCAAAGTATAAAAAACCAATTTAACTTTAAAACCTGATTTGCACGCTTGCATTTAGGGGAAATTTGTTTTGTGGAAAAGGATGATTTCCTATTTCAAAAGTCATTACCTTTATTATTAATGCAGGATGAAATAATGATGATACATATATTATATTACCGGCAGCTTAATCAGATAATGCACGAATTGCCTTGGTCAATATGTGTAATATCTTATAAAATTGTCTGAAATTTATTAGGTTTAAAAACGAGCTTAAATAAATAATTTAAAGAGGGTAAATAGCAAATCCTTTGCTAAATGATTTTTCTTATTTTTAACGCATTCCAGTAATTTTTAGAAATTTTGAGTTATTATTAATTTTATTAGCAATACAGGATTGCCTTATTATGAATACGAATTGAAATTTTTTTTAAAAAATCTTCCATATAAGAATTTATATTTTTTGTTATTTTATAAAATATATCTAAAGAGAAAACATGAATCTCCTGCTATTTGTCGGAGTCTAATTATGTCACTGGATGTATTAACTTATGAATTTAAGTCCGTTAGCGCTAAATTTAAGGTAGTGTAAAATGGTTCATAAATATATAGTATAAATAAAAAATATAAATATTTTACCCACTCTCCCAGATGCAAACAAGTTATTTCGTAAAGATGGGTACCTAAAAATGATACAGTTTAGCTAATAATATAATTAAATGTAAAATAAATTGATTAGTTTTAAAAAGCCTTTTAGCATTCAAAGCGAGTTAATATTTTTTGAGTTAATGTTAGTCGATTATATACAGTGTCGCAATTGAACTGATACCCTTTTTGTTTTGGCAATAAATTTGTCAATTCTTCAATAAAATTTTCTAGACTGAGAGAGAGAAAAATTTTCAATGTTTTCTGCAAATTTCATCAAATTCTATCCACAGGGTACAAAGTTATGCACATTCAAAATTGGGCTAACCAACATGTAGAAATTCATATTTATTAAACTTTATAATTCGACAAAAACATGTAAACATCAACATTTAAAATTAATTTAAGTCAAATTTTCTTCAAAGCAGATGTTCAAAATGCTAGGAATTCGCCGATTCTATTACTTCACAAGTCGCTGTTTGATGGCAAACGTGGCATATGCGGGTAACATGTTTCATGAAAGACGCTGCATATCTTGTAGTCGATAGAGATCACAACTATTGGAGGGCCAAAGAGTGGGTGAAATAAAATCTGGAGTTTCTCTTGAAAGCTGGTTCACAATTTCCCTGGCTCAGTGAGCTAGAGCACCGCCCTGCTGGAATATCAAAAATTCCCTGTCCGAAGATTCTTTAATAACAGACAATAAGTGTTCACCGAGTAAATAGTATGTACCATTAATTTTGACCCATGATTAGATAAAGATGTGTTCTGTGCAGACAAGACCCGACTGAAACCATTATGGATGTAGAGAAATTTAAACGAGTACAAAGGAATCGATTGGCTGCAACTTGTTTTTTTTCTCAATGGAACTACAATGTACACCTATTGTGCACATTTACCGGTGGATTCACTGATAACAGCTTTTCACCTGTACACATAAAATGAAATCTCTGAGAGTATATTCGTAGAAGTTGTTTAGAACGTACTAGATTAGAAATCTTATTCGCATTGTGGGCTTGTTTCTTTTATACATTTCAGCTGCAGCTCTTTGTGGATAATTCGATATACTAGTTCACAAAACACCAGTTTCTTGGGATATTTGCCTAATTGCTCTGCGTGTTTCAGGTCGGCCTTCTTGGTTTTCCAAAAGAATAAACATTTTCCATAATGAGCTGTGCGTGGTCTACGACTACCTTACCGTTTTTTGCTAATCCGGTAGCATCAATTTTTGCAACCAATCAATTCAAAACTGCGATAGACCATTTCTGTTAGGAAATTCCTTCAAAAATCTTTTGGGGCGGTAATGTTTTTCTTGACTTAAAATTTAAATCAAACTCAAATCATCTTTAATGAAGTCATTTTGCCTTATTATTCAACATGGAAATGACTATTATGACGTCATATTTTAGAGTAAAGTATGCAGCTTGCAAAAAATAATTTTTTAGGGGGCTCAAAATTTTTTTAAAATTACATTTGATATAATAAAAAAAATTCAAAATTTTAAGGGGCTTTTCAAATTTTTCAGGGGCTGGAGTCCCTGCGCCCCCCCCTAGCGATGCTACAAGTTGAAAGTTCGAATTTTATTTGCTGAACAGTGAGTGTGAATAATTTTAGATCTTGTTAATAGAATTTGATAAAACATTGATAATTTATCCCTCTATCAAAATTTTATTCAATTATTTTTAGATTTATTGCCAAAACAAAACAAAAAAGTATCAGTTCAATTGGGACACAATGTATATAAGTAGAATATTCAGTTGAGACATGCAGAAAGCATTGCAAATTTTTTTGATTTTAAAATAAATCATACTTTTTCCCTCAAGAGTGCCATTAAAAGTATTGTCATTTTCATCAACCCCTTACCCAAATATTTTATAAATAATTTTTTAAAGTATTATAAATTATTAGATAGATGTTATTATAAACAAGCAAGAACAATTTTCAGTAAAATTTATTTTCCTAAGAATATTATTTATAGAAAAAACTGTAAAGTTCTGACTAGTGATCTGCCGGGTATAATTTTTCAAGCCCGGTCCGAACCCGCCCGAATTTATTTAAATATAAAAATTAATTTTTAAAATTACTCAAAATAAACGATATATGTTATATGGCGTCTACTTTCTATAAATAAAATCACATATTTTTATTTTACATAAAAAATTCGACATAAAATTGATAAAAGATATATTTTAAAAAATTTCTAAGACCCGACCCGGCCCGAATTTTATTAAAAAACATTAGGCCCGTTCGGGTCGATCTCTAGTTCTGACATGAAAACGTGACTTATGAGCGAATGGCACTTTTGTTTTAATTTTGAAAAATCATTATATTTATTTGATATAGTGATGAAAGGTATCCGGTCGGTTCTATCTATATCGAAACCAAATCGATTGATAGACGGACTTTTCTCTTTTACGGTCCAGAACGTGGTCCCGACCAATCTTTACTATTTAATTTTTTACTAATACTTTTCTAGGGAAGTTACTTTAGTTTTTGATTCTTTTTCTGTTCATTTTTATCTTGAATGACCCCAAAGATTTTTAAAAAAAATTTTTTAGTAACTTATTTTTAGAAATTTATTTTTATTCATACTTTTTTAAAAAAATATCTTTTCGGGTTACTCACTGAATCATGGGGAAATTTTTGATATTATTTTTTAATTATTTTTTTTTAATATTATTTTTTATATAAAATATTAAATAAATGATCATCTGCATTGTGGAGGAAATTTTTAACATAATTCATTAATTTTACAATAAAACGAAGTATATTTAAAAAAACTTGTGAAAATTTTCATAATTCTTTAATTTCACAATAAAAACAAGACGTGTTCTATAAAGCTATTAAGTTAGGACTATTAAATCAAATACTAAATTATTTATTAATCAATTTTTTAGAATAAATTTTTTTTTGTGTACTAGGTTGATATTTCATAGAAGAAATAGTTATCTTTAGATTTATAAATTAAAAGTAAGCACTTGTTTAATTTGGGGCATTGTTGGGTTTGAAATCTTTGAAATTGAATGACCCATAAAATTAAATATAATTTAATTGATACTGATATATATATAATATTGTTTTCAGTTATTATAATTTTATTAAAATTGTATCGCATAAATTACAAACAATAAAATACTATTAAATCAAATACTATTTTTCGTGGAAAAGGTTAATATCTCAAAAAAGAAATAGTTATTTTTAGATTTAAAAGTAAGCACTAGTTTAATTTGGGTATCTTTGGGTTTAAAATCGTTGAAATTGAATGACCCATAAAATTAAATATAATTTAATTGATACTCTTATAAATAATATTGTTTTCAGTTATTATAATTTTATAAAATTGTATCGCTCAAATTATTAAAATACCAAATTAGAGAATTTATAGCTTAATTGTTAACCCTTCAATACTCCGGTGGGGTATATGAAACCCCAGGCATGCTAGAAATGATATTGCATAAAAACAGTTAAATATTATTATCTGGGTTTTTCAGTAGCTTCATCAAATATATCTTAGAATCTATATTCCAAATTTCATACATTTCGGTTGAGTAGTTTTTAAGATATAAGCATTTTGTGACTGATTGGGGTTTGTGAGACCCCACCAGAGTAAATTTGTATGTTCTATATTTTTTTATATTTGAATGTATTAGTGTAATTTTTTTTTTATATTGAAGAATAAAGATCCAAGTTATGAATTATCATGATTATATGATATATAAGTTAATTTTTTCATTTAATATTTTAAATTTAAAAAAAGTAAGCTTTTTTTAGAAAATTTTGGGACAAATTATATTACTCCTCATCATTTTTAATTTAAACTTAAGAAATAAAAATAAATAATTATTTTATCAGGTTTAAGGTTAGTTCTATCTTATATCCAAATATTAAATCTAAATAATGAATATATAACTGGAGATATATGCATTTGAAATTGGGGTTTATTAAACCCCACCCGAGTATTAACTTGATTTTTTTCACCGGAGTATTGAAGGGTTAAAATTAAAATATAACTTCATTCTACCAAACCAAAACAATAAAAAAAAAAATTTTAAATTAAAAAAAAAATAAATAAATAAAAATAATGTTAAAAATTTCCCCGTGATTCAGTGAGTTACCGAAAATCATATTTGAATATAAATTAATATAATTTTTTTAAAAAAAAAAAGAAAAAAAGTGTACTATGAAAATGAAATTTTGTCAAAAGGCATTTTACTATTTAAATTAAATATTTGCATTTATTATTATTCATATTTGATTTATATTGTTAGTTACCATAAATACTTTTTATTTAATAAAATAAAAAAAGAAATTAAATTAGGTAAAAACGAAAATTTTTTTAAAATAACAAAAAATAATAAAAGAACGGTCCTGGAGTTTTTTTTATAAGACAACGGTCTAGATCGGTATACTTTGTGGACTGCAATCCGGTCCGTGTATGGAGATAAGGTCCGGATCAAACACTAGTGACCTTCACTAAAAAAAGGTAGCATATAAATTATATTAGTACAATGTTTTATTTAATTTCAACAAAAATTAAACGTATTTTGTACCTATTAAAGTAATACTAGATACTTGGCGAGCCATCAAACCTTTTAGCTTTTGATGATTTCTCCTGTATGCTAATTATAAATAAAATATATTTTTTTTATGCAAAATATTGTATTTTAATATTTTTTAAAAATATTGGGACTCCGCCTCTCTCCTTCTCCATAAAAAATAACGCAGCTACCCAATATGCTTTTAACTAGGGATGCACCGATATTTTTTATCATTTCGGGCCGATATTTCACCTATTTTTAAATATCAGTTATCGGCCAATAATTTGCCGATCCGATATAAAATGGCGTCTTTAACAAAAATAAAATGTTATATTTTTTTTTAAAAGTTATAGCTAAAATCATTTATTTTTATCAATAAAATCGAAATCCATATTTTTTTTAATAATTATAATTAATTAATAAACATTATGCCATATTGTTATTTTTTGCGCATTCTGTTTATAAAATTGTGCGATAATCTCTTCAGAATCTGTTTTTAGCGAGGCTGGTGATATTGACAGTTGCCATCGCCGCAAGCTGACCTCTGATAAATTTGAAATTTTGGTATTTCTAAAAAGAAATCTTCGATATATTAATGTTAAATATTATTTTAAATATTTATTCAAATTTCATAATATATATATTTATTACTTATTGTGTATTTATATTAATGTTGTTACTTATTATATAAAAGTGATTTAACAATAAAAATATTTTATATACTTTTAGTTATATACTTTTAGAATGGCAATAGAATTGAATATAAACTATAACTAATCATTATAATATATTTAAATGACATTTATGGTATAATTAAATTATAGATGTTATACTAATAAAAAGTATATTACAAATTAAAACCATTGGTATCTTTACAGAATACAAAATTAGATATGATATCGGATCGGTAATCGGCCGATATCAATTTAATATCGGGAATATCGGATCGGATCAGATCGGCCTCCAAAAAGTGATATTGGTGCACCCTTACTTTTAACCAGAGTTAGAACTGGGTTTAAAAAGGGTTCCAGTCTGAATATTTTTAAAAAGATCTTCCTGATTCCGATATCAAACATATTAAAGAGGATTCCATCCTCATATTTGACTCGGTTTAGATGGTTCCAAATTTTGACTTCGGTTCATAGATCAATTAAAGTAATGGAAAAATAAGATTAGGAATTGAATAATTATTTGCTGTCTGAGGTTGTTACATTACTGGAAAGTTGTAATTGATTATTAAATGAATATCCAGGAGGTCATATGTAAGATTGTACTGTCATAAATTTCTACTCAAGGAAAATATATTTACCTATAATTTTTATATCGCAGGCATTTATGACCTTTTACCCTTATATCGTTACTTATTTTTAACTAACCTTCTATTTATGCTGAATCTTCGAGCCTATCATAATTTGACCCATTGTTTCTATTATCTTTCCACTTCCAGCAAGAATGTAAATATATAAACACTTTAAATTAACAATATAAAAATAAATTAATTTTGTTAAAACCTGTTCTGATCGGAGATTTTAAAAAAGTTTCTATATTAAGTAAATTTGCCAGTTTCTGAGGGTTCTGGCTCGGGTTTCAAACTCTGATATTCGATAAAATGATAACGGTTCGGTTCGCGCTTGGAGCCTTAAGCTCGAAAATAAAATGTTAGGGGTAAAATTTATAGCAAATTTTTAATATAATCTCGAAATTAAAATAGTTTCAAACCAGTTATATAAAAATTAGACGGATAAATTGCCCAAGCCTGAGGTCCGTGCTGAAGTATGAAAGTCCTCGAAGAACCTAAAACTAAAAGAGTTTTTTCATTGCTGGCTACTATCTATTAATTATCGTAATATTTCAACATTATTTACAGTAAGAATGAATAAATACATCATTTAAAATATAATTTTATACTACCCGAGTTGGGCAGTACCGCGAACACTTGTATTTAAGATACAAAACTTTTAGTAATAAGATACTTGTATCTGTATTTACGATACTTTATTTTCAACAGAATCTTGTATTTTTTTATTTTCTTGGCAAAAGAGACAGATACTTTTTTATATTGTTTTTTAAAAAATATTAATCACACATAACCTTATTTTCGTGGATTATAGTATTAATTTCTTTATTCTTTCTTTATATACTTAAAAAATATCGGTAAAATTTACAGTAAATTTATTAAGTAAATCTTTTGTGATTTTTATGCATAAAAAATTTTCACAATGAAACCAAAAACTTAAAAAAATTTTTTTTTTTGATCTTATTTAAAAAATATTGAATTTTATGATCTTCAAAGAATTTATTTATACTCTGAATGAAACTGAAACTATGAAAATAAGTTCCCCTGAATCAAATTTAAATCTTAAAATTTTAGATGTAATTTTTTTTAATAATTATTATAAGAAAATTATAAAATAACCGCTGAATACCAAGCCTGTATAAAGTAAAAACCGATAAGGGGTTCAACAAACCAGAGTAGTGTATTTAACCGGTCAATTGATCGATATTTGACAGGTCAACTTAAAAAAAATATTTATTAAGACAATATTAACTATGTTGTATATAATAGTAAGATAAATCTATAATATTAATTTTATATTATTTTTTAAATTCATTGTCATTCAATAACTAATGTTTCCATGGTAGTTTTGTTCTGATTCATATTAATATTATCATTTTCTTTAATATTTAATCAATTTTCTTGTTGTCGAGATATTCAGTCGATTTTTGTAAGAATATTATCCCAAATCGACCAATTTCTTTCTGAAGAAGTAGAACTAGGAATTGTTAGTAAAATAACACTTCTCTTAATGGGCAATATCCATTCCACTAACTTGAAGCGGGAATCTGATTCTTTTTTATGGAAGTTACTTTCGACATAATTTGTTATCAAACATGCCTCTTTTACTTCTGAAATATTTTGATTATTATCACCTTGTAAAATGCCTAATTCTTGTATTATATTACACACTTCATTAAATTTGTACTAGTAAAATGCCCCCCCCCTTGATATTGGGGCCCCAATAAATAAGCAGCACTCACAAGCATGCATTTATATCGTGTTTTTTTTATTTTCAAACATATTTCTAATTTTTTTCTTCAGATTTTTTGTATTTGTCCTGGTCAAATATTCCTTAGGTCAATTGACTGAATTTGTCCTTCAATTGGCAGACTTTCCAACAAACTATAAATTTTATCATATTAAAGTTGTTTAAATATATATAATTTAATGATATAATTATATTTATTGGTATGTATATTTTTTCCTGATTGTTTATTTCCATTTATGTTTGGATCAAATATTATTAGAAAGAATTATGGCTGTTTATACTATATCTTCCTAAGCTCGATTATGATATTTGTTTGAATTAATATTATTAAAAATTGGAGATATTTTAGACCTTTTCAAGGCGTATCAATTACAGGGTTTACCGTTGCTTTTGAACAAAAACTTATGAGAAAACAAAATATGTAAACATCCTTTTTTATATTTGGTTCTCATTCAATTTGAACATCATAAAAAATGTGAAATCCCCTTACCTTCTTTCGAATAAATTCTCATTTTGAGGGTCTATTCAAAAAAGCAAAAGTCCCAATCAAAAAAGGAAAAGTGTCAATTATAAAAGGAAAAGGTCCGATCAAAAAAGAAAAAGGTCCGATCAAAAAAGGAAAAGTATTTTTTTACTTTTATTCGTACTTTTATTCGACAAGGTAATTTATTTTAACAGATGTATTAATTTCGAATATTGAATATATTAAAAAGAAATTGTAAAGATTACTTTATTATTCTTGAACTTTTTATGTTTGAATTTATTTTAAAAGAAAAAAATCATAGCAAATTCATTATAGGTTATAAATTTTTTTAAATTAAATTAACACCTTTATGAAATGATACCGTGAACGATGGATCGAATTTTTTGGAATGATTGAAAATATTGCAATCTTATTACCACTCTTTTATCACTGCTGTAACATTGTTTAAGGTGCAGTATAGTCCCCTTTACGATTAAAATAGTGGAAATAAGGCTGCTATATTATCCAAAAATATAATTTTGAGAAATTAAAATGATATAGGAAAATATCTAGTATATATATTCTGAAATATGATAATTCGTGGTGTTACAGAATAGAATATTCTCATCAAATTATTGGAAATCGTTTTTCCGAAGGATAACGTGATGCTACTATATCCAAAAATATAATTAGGACTAAATTAAAATCATGTAGAAATTCTTCGAGTGTATAAATTCTTTTTCCGAAATATGATAATTCTGATTATATTATATCGTATACGTTATATTATTAAAAGGCCTAGATGTAGTAGTACAGAATACCCCATCATTCAATTCAACCTAAAAATCAAGAAAATGATTGATAGAAAAAATACTTCTGATTTCATCAATTGCATAAAATAAAATTTACTCGGGATACAAATAAACATTGAGTTGGAAGTTTGAAAATAGCTTAAAGATCGTAGAAATATGTTAGAAACACTTTATTATCTTCCCATTAAAATTTTTTTTTAAATAATATTATAGTACCTTCTTCAGCTCAAAAAGATAATCAGTTTTTGGTATGGAGCGATGTTAAATACTCCGAAATGTCCAAGGCTTAATAAATTATTTAAAAAACTTTTAAAAAATTATCTCGATTTAATAAAATACGCATATTTTGTACAAATTTTTAAATCATATTTATTTTAAATTCATGTTTAAACTTCATAGAAAAATGCTAGCCTTGCCGGTGTTAATATTACAATGTTTGATTATGTAATTTGGCTCATCTTTAAATAAGTAATTTGAAATATATTACCAATTGTAAATATTCATTTTTATTATAAATTAGTTTTAATATTTATAAATAAAATTTCGAATAAATTAATCATTTCTCTAACTATATACTTATGTTATGTTCTTCATAAATAAAAAATTTAATAGATAATGATCATTTTATAAATAGTATTGTATTTATAATCCTTCCATTTAGTAAAATATTCAAGTATCTGTATCTTTTTGATATTTCTAAAGATACCAGTGTCTGTAACTAAGGTTCTTTTTTTACAAATATTTAAAATTTTTCGAGGACCTGCCCAACTCTGTATCCTACTTACATTTAATGGTTTATAAGCGGCTATAGTTATCGAACTTTGCAAATATATATTTAAAGGCAAGTATTTATAGGAAACAGATAGTTTTGTATATCCATTTGATATGGCTCTGACTTTAATGCTTCTACAAGAGTCATTCAAGTGAGAACTATCATTTTCCAAGTCTATGTATCCTAAATCAAAATATAAAACACAACTATTTAAATAAAACACCTTCCACTATTTGAAAAATATTGGGGTCTGCTATAAAAATATTCATGGCAAAGTTTCGGCAATCAGTATAAGGAATTTCTTCGCCTATTTATGATGAAAATAATATGAATGAATAATAATAATAAAATCAAACTTTCATTAATCATAAGGCCCGTTATTTTAAGGTACAAAATGAGACTCTCATTTACAAACGTTTCTATTCGTGATTCTAAGAAATTTACTTTGTGAGGCAACAATACGAGGATCTATATAAATATACAATTATAATCGCGATTAATAATTTTATAAACCCAAGTATGTTTTATATTAAAATCACTCATCAATTAACTTTATTATTCGTCAATAGCAAATCTTCTAATAATAAATGACTGCATTATTGGGGGGGGGGAGGGTATTTCCGGTCAGACCTCCTAAATAAATGTATGCCCCTCTAATGAATAGATGAAATTTTAAAATATGTTTTCTACAATTTATATTAATTTAGAAATTAAATTGTAATTATAAAATGATTTGTCGAATATTAAATTAAACGAGTACTTTTCATTTTAAGAAGTTTTGTTAAAATGAAGGCGCCTCATTTTTGGTTTGTGAGGATATTTTAAATGAATAAAAATTGTAAGATTGTTTACATTATAAACCAAATACAGGTATTTTTAATTTTTTAAAAAATTACGTTATCGTTCAGCACCAATTACCAATTAAAATTCCTAGCAATAGTGCTCAGTTAGTTATTTGTTGTGAATAATTCAATTAATGGATTAAAATATAAACTTATCAATTATAAAGCTTCCATGTATTCATTCAATTTTAAGATTTTCGTTATCATGATAATTAGCGTGCAAATAACACTTTAAAGATGTTATATTTTGGATTAATAAAGCATGCAAATATTAGAAAATTAGGTATTAATAATATTAATGCTGTGAGACATGCAATAGCAGTAATAATAAAAATAAAAGAATTAGTCATTCTTAAATGTTATGAACAAGGCTAAATTAAACTATTTCAAAATTATACTGTCCTCCAAAGCATAGGGTCACTGTTCTATATGATGTACAATAAAAATATTTAATTATTGTATAAATAATTCAAATATAGAGTGCATATTGTCTAATGCCTGAACTCCTTAATATATAGTTAATCACCCTGTGACCTAAATAGAATGGTTATCGACCTGAACATGGATAAGAATAATTCTTGAGAAATATAGAAAATGATCCTGGCCTCGTTTATATAAGGGCAGATCGCTCAGGGAATGTGACAAGTATCGTTGGTATTTTTCAAAAGCAAGCAAATAATAAGTAAAATTTATAAATCTATAGCGATCGGGCATTATAAATTTTATCTATTATTCGCTTGCTTTTGAAAAATACCCTGCGATACATGTGGCATCACTTGAGTGATACGTGTTTACTATAAAAGAGGCCTAATTGTTCGATCTCTACTATAACCAGTTTTATAAAATATAGTGTATGCTCCTTAACTCGAAAATACAAGAAGATCTGGCATCAACCCTTATTCATAATCTTTAAGCCCAATTGATTGAAATTCCTGGATATTTGAAACCTGAGCAGACTTTGATTTCAAATCATGCAATAAGATGTCTAATCTAATATTTAAACAAAATATACAATGGCGTCACATAATGACGGCCCCATCTAGAGCCCTGCAAATTCAAACTTTTCAGTACAAGCTCGGCCTAAAATATTTTTAAAATTTCAGCTCAATGCGTCCCGAGCCCAATAGGCCAGAGCCCCGAAATTTTTAGATTAAAAAATATATATTAAACGTATTTTTATAAAGATAAGTGAAGCAAAAATCATTAATTACCTTGTCGATCACAGATTATTTCTAATATTCATATTATTTTGATAAAACAAGAGAAAACATCATTTACTATGTCATATATTTTCAGACACAAATCCGGCCTATTAAAAAAATTAAGCAAAAGTAAGGCTCTAATCCGCAAGATAGCTAAATCAAAGCTTTTAAATAAAGCTTTACAGGTAAAAATACCTACTAACAATATAATGATCACCCTATAAAATTTTAACAAGATGGCAAAAAGCGGCAGTTATAGACACTGCGATTAGTCAAATTCTTAATAGCCTCTATTCAAACACTCTCAGTCCTTTTTCAAGGATATAAGTGACACATCTAAATAACCGCTAGATCAAATTATTAAATATAAGTTTCAATTTTAATTAATTAAACCTATATAACATCAAGTGATCCTCGACAAGATATCTAATTCAAATATATAAAATAATAAAGAACAAAGCAGCCCAAACGATTCTAGAAATCAAACTTAAGTTTCACCCAAGAACAATATAGAGATAAGGCGATCTCAGGTTAGATACATTATTAACTTTTGAGCCCCAAATGAAGCTGGCCACGAGACGAGCTTATCAAATCAGACTAATTGCATCTGGAATGTATTTCGATTTTAATTATTTTTAAAATAATTTAAGCAGGGATGTGAACCCGAACCCTTGTATTTTGGCATAACCCAAACCCGGGCCCTTTTTAAAAGTGGAGGGTCCAGGGGTTCTAAGTATCATAAAAAAATTTAAAAATAAAAATATTTTTTAAAAAATAATATAAATTTTTTTAAATTTTATTATTTTTTTGTGGAATCATTTATTTTATCTTCGCGTTTTTTTCAATTTTCTTCCTGGACTTCCATTTTATTTTGAGATTGGTATCATAAATTATTTCTCAGTGGAATAATATTTTATTATGTAAATTTATTAATATGTGATGTTATAGAAATACGTTGATTATTATGAAAGTGAATTATTTTGTAGTACAAGTAATAATATTTTAATTTAAATGATAATGCATAACACGTTGATCCTCAATTTGTATGATGCTAGAACGATTATTAAGTTTGAAAGATTTCTGTAATGATTTTATTATAGGAGCATGTGAAGTCATTTTGTCGGAAGATGATTGGTGCCAAATAAAGGACCTTACTAGTGTATTAGTTCCTTTAAAAATAACAATATTAAGATTTCAATCAGAACAATTATTTTTATTTTTAAGGCATATGGATTAGATGCCGATTAGATTTAGAAAAATTTACAGTCCTTTTTATATGAAATATTAGAAAACATGAAAATTCGAGAGCAACAATATTTGCAAAATAGTGCTGTATACGCTTCTATATATTTAGACAAGTTTTATTGAGTATTGAGCAAAAACAAATGGCTAAAGACCATCTTAAGGATTTATGGCATAAGCAAAACTCCATATTTACAATATATTGGAGACTACGACAATACCTACTGGTAGTAGTTATAATAATAATGATTGCAACATTGATGATCTTTAAATTTTACTTTTAGATAATAAAAAAAATCAAATTATCATAAGATAGAAAGGAAGATCAAAAAATGCCCATTGCATCTTTAATAGTAAAGTTCTCATAAGTTAAGAGAATAAATAAGGATATAAATATTTTAAAATTCTGGGAAGAAAATTCTTCAATATATCCAGAATTATATATCTTATCTAGAATCTTCATGGCTGTACCGGCGACACAAGTACAATAATTTTATAAAGATAACTATCTATTTTAGGTAAGGGTAGAACGTGAATTTTCATCTTTGAAATATATTTTGTCTACTTTACGTGGAAATCTCAAGGATGATATTTTAAAAATATTATGATTGTGCGAGAATAAAATATTTAAAATATAAATTATTTCATTTTTAAATTTTTCATTTGTAAATTATGAATATGAATATATTGAAGTATAATAATAAATGAATAAAAAAAAATCTTATTTTGAGTCATTATTTTTATGTTCCCCAAACCCGAACCCGAGTCCTTTTAAATTTTATTCCTGTACCCGTACCTGGACCCTTTTTTTTGTCGAAGGGTTCACATCCCTGGATAGTGGTTTTAAACGAAATAACGAATAGCATGGTTTATTTAAATATTATTGCTTTTTAAAATCTATAAAAAGTAAAGAAGAAAAAATAATACCATTCCGGTAGCTAAATTGATAGGATTTTTTTGATCAGAAGTAACTATAGTACTTTCACCTAAACATGATTGGACGGTTGCCATCCCATTTTGATTTACCATTGCTAAACTAGTGTTCGTACTCCTCCAATTATAATTTCCACTGCCGCCAAATGCCTAAATCAATTAATATTATTTATTTAATATGTTAGTTAAATAATCAACATTCACCTTAAAATATATCTGATAAACTCCATTACCAATGGGGTCATAGGGTATAACTGCCCTCTTAGGTAATATTTTTATAGGATCAAAAACTTCAATCACTTGTTGTACACTGACTGGGGTAATTGATATGGCCTTCCAGTTCTATAAAAAAATATAAGAAAAATTGGACTAAAAATAATTTTGATTTAAAAAATATTGGTTACACATTCCGCTATGGTATAAAATTCGGAAATTATAAAAGTAGTTCCTTTGACGTTCGGTTTGATATAATGAATTGCACCATTGGTAGTTTTATTGGATACAGTTAAAATATTATTGCCACTTTCAATCAACGAGATCCGAATATTCTTTCGTAATTTTTTTAATTATGAGATGTGAGAAATTAGTAATTACTTCTGAAGGATATATTTTATTTCCATTTTCATCATGTAAATTCGTAGCAATTCTGTAAGTTCGGCCAACTTCTAGCACCCAAATATCTCCTGGATATATTGACAAGGCTTTTAAATATAAAGATGAAAACATATTATTAAAACATGACACCGGGTATAGGCCAATACATTTTTTTCTCATATATTATTTAATCCTCATAATGTTAGTTATAAAAATCTTCGGTGTAATTTTGCACTTAAAAATTATCCTGCAAAATATAGTAAATATTTTTATTTTAAAAAAAAATACATTGAGATATTAAAAAAATATATATGCAGATAAAGTTTTTAGGCTGATTGTATAATTTTTAAAAGATTCACAGGGCGGATTGCGATTTTTCCCTTTCAAGATGGTAGTTGATGAATAAAATGTATTTATTCGGGAATATAAAAATAAGATTTTTACAATCACCTCATCTGAGAAAACTTAATTTTAATCATCTCCAAAAGTGATTTATAAATTTGAAAAGTCTGATAAATGTATAGGGCATAACAACCTTATGAATATCAGATATTCGTCATTCAAAAGTTATTGATAAAATTATCTAAAAATCTTAGGACAAATAGCACATGTTGAATATCTCTGGTAAAATCATTTAAAAATTAAAAATAGTCCATAAATGTAATAAAAATTGCAATTGTAAAATCAGAATCCTCACGTATCCCCATAAACTTATCATTTTTTTTATTTTTATTTTTACAATAAACTCAAGTTCACCGTTCTTCTCATTTGGCCCATAAAATATTTCAACTTCGTCTGCCTATCCGTGTTTTAAAAATATCTTTAACCCGCTTACTCGCAAAAATTTTAAAATGTTTAGCCAACCACCAGATTTCTAATTTGGACCCCTGTAAATCTAACATGGCTTGCTAGACCTCTTTGGTGTTTTTTTTACCGAGACTGAAAAATTTATTAGGACAGACTTAACTTAGAAAAAGATTTGATGTAGAGCTTGGAAACTACACATGCAATATCTTCTCATAAATAAAAGACTAAGATAATTTATGATTATCAACATTTAAAATTTATCTTGAATAAAGGTCTGAGCTATTCTTCTGTTTTTTATTTTACAATACATTAAGCTTTTTATTCAATATAAGTTTGATTTCTACAATTAAAAAAAATGTTTAGCCTTTTTTTTACTTAACTACATAAAAGATATGTAATTTTATTTAAAAAATATCGCATAATATTTCGAAAGTAATTGGAAATTTACTCAATGATTCAGTTTTTACCACATGAACGATTATTGATGGTAGATGGCTTTCTTTAAGATCAACTGCTACATGATTAATAATGCAAAATATAATAAATCAATTTATTTGATTAAAAATAAACTATGGTCTTCCAAATTTATAATACAAGTTCCTAATTTATTTCCAAATATCTTCACAGAATTTTCATCTAGAGAGCAAATCAGTTGACCCTCTAAAAATTTTAATATGTATTCATCGGTAGTTTCCATATCTATTTCTAATTGAAAATAAAAGGTATTTAAAATTTATCAAAAAATAATGATATTACCATCTAATGTAATATAAAAAATGTAAAAATTCTTGTTAAAATCAAATATTAAATCCTTTCACTCAAATTACATGACCATATTAGAAATTCGCAATGTGCGGCCCAGTACTCGGTTCATGAAACCTAAATTCTCAATATTATTATTTATTTTTCCTAGGATATTTCAGAATTTTAAAAAATTGGGCTGGACTGGGTAATCTTATTTTAAAAAATTGGAAACGAGTTGGGCTGGGTACAAATTTGGATGGGCCAGACAAAACGAAATTTCAACCAGGCTGGGCCTATAAATTTAGAATTTTGACTCATATCTCGCTAGCCTTAATTTATAACACTGAAACTTTTTCAATTTTAACCTTATTATCTCTCTAACCTTTTAATTTTAACCCATATAATCTCTAACCTTTTGATTTTAACCCTACCCTTTTTATCGAATATTTAAAATTCAAATTAGACAAGTTTTTATCTATTTTAATTTTCCATAATTAGCAAGGATTCTTGTGGGTATTTATATTTTAGTCATGAAAAAAAATGTTTTTTTGTTTTTCTACTAATTTACTAGTTTTTTTTTTTCAAATTAAAAAAAAACATCTTCTAAATTATACTGATGAGCTAAATTGGAATTCATGTTTTTATATAATATCTGCTACTTTAATAGGGGATTTTTTGTTTACGGGAAATCTTATTTTAGTTATACCCAGAGAAAAATCATATGCCAATTAAGGTTAGCCATCAAGGTCATTGCAAATTGTTAGATAAATTCAACACATATGCGTGATAAATGTGATGTACTGATTCTTAAATAAAAAATGTTAAAAATTATTTCAACTGGAACATTAAAGAAATCTTATATATATAATTTTTCTTGAAATTTTGATATATAAATGTTTATACAATACAAATAATGATTAATTTTTAAAAAGTTTTTTGTTTTTGATACCTTAGTATTTAACAGGTTAAAAATTTAATTATTGATAAATAGTAAAAGAAAATACTTAAACATATAAGAAATTTAATCAAGGTAATTTAGCACTACTTAATGTTTCCCTAAGGCTATATGCTCCATATTTTGAATTTCCAACCAATTTATTTTTACGGTTATTAAAATATTCTCCCACACCCTTTTGTTATGTTTTATTTGTAGGTGAATGCCAAGTTTTACTCAATAGTTGATCTTAAATAAAGGTATATCAACTTATGAAAAACAAAACCAATATTGTCATCTATAAGTCTGATATTCAAACCTCCTTACACTAAAGAGGGATGATATCTCTGGGCATTAAAAAAACACATAGCCAACATAAAGAGTATAGGTTCAAATTAGGACTCCTAAAGAGAAAGCTACAGGATACCATTTAGCTATATGCAAATTTGATGAAAATCATAAACCATGAGCTAAGTTAGATTCATTATATTGATATAATTATACATTTTAAAATATCTAGATGAAAAAACATTTTAAATGTTACCAAAGCAGAGAAAATTGTCACCAACAAAACAATTTGTTGAGCAATTTTTATCTATAAAAGGTAATAGTCAAATTCAGGAAGTCATTTTGAAAACAGGTCAAAATGATAACCTTAAAAGATATCCACAATATAAGGAGTAACCTTAACAAGCCATCAACTAATATACTTCTCAGTGTTATTGATCATTAAAACAGGAAAAGGTAGCAATAGTTGAAATAGAAGAAAACAATCAATTGATGAACATATTTTACCAAGATGTTCTATTTATTGATGCAACATACAAATATATAATCTCATTATAAATGTAGGTTAGATAAAATAGATTATATATTTTTTTAATTAATATGGCATTTTTCTTTATAATGAATTTTATGTAATGCTAAAATATTAATTTCAATGTTTTAATATAAAAAATTTATTCTTATAGGAATGCCACTTTTTATCCTACTAATAATAGACAGCCATGGAAAATCCCAAATAGCTGCTCTGTGGCTTGTTAGAAGGGTATTACTTTGTAAAAATTTCTGTGATATCCTTAAAAAATATAATGATGCAGGCCAAATTAAGGTAATTATAGGGGATAAGGATCTAGCTGATAGTCAGGTCTTATTTGAAAGTTTTCCTAATGCAAACATATAGATTTGAATATTTCATGTTATGTGTAGCTTTAGGAGAGAAATAACTACTACCAAATTAAATATAACAGGAGAGATTGTTATATTAGTTTTGAGTATTTTACAAAAATTAGTTTATGCACGTTCTGATATGGAATATAATAATCTATATACAAGTCTTATTTTTTTGAACCTTCCAATTGTTCAAAAAATATTATTATACAAATTGGAATCATATCAAAATAGAATAGGTGATTGGATTCCATACGTCTGTGCCTCATTTTTATAATGCCACAAATAATCGCTACCAAGAAGGGTTTATCTCTGTTAGCGGTTTTGCTAGCCGAATCAATAAATCAAAAATTCAAAAAGATTATTACAAAATTCTAAACCTTAAATAGTTTTTTCAAAGATATGTCAGCCATTGTAAATTCTATGGACTTTAAAAAAATATATAAAACAGTAGTGAATAATATTAGAGTCTATATTTACATATGCTTTCTCCTGAGCAAAGATACAGAGACTTATTAACAACATATGCCTTCAAAAAAATTATAGATAAAATTGTTGAGAGTACATTAGTCAAAATTCCTGATCATGGTAACAATGTATTCTCACCCGTGGAGATATATGACACTAGGATTATTATAAATGTATCATCAGATAAATATACATGTGGTTATCTATCCACAATGCTCCTGCCATGTAGGCATATAATGGCTCTGTGTGCTTCTTATAATTTAGACAGATCTGTGCAGCAGAAGATGGACTAAAGCCTATACTATCTCATGTGGCCTAGAAAATTTGCCAATGTGCCCATCTGGTACCTCCATAAATACTCATACATTAAAAATTATTCCCAGAATATATCACAACAAGAAAAATATAATAAAATTTATCAAAAACTTACTTCACAAGCTCAATATATTCCCATCTCCCACAGGATAAATTCGAATTTATAGAAAAACAAATTGACATTATGGGTAAATGTAATCAAGATGATGTATTATTCTATGTTATACCATCAGATTTGGCTCTCGATACTAGATAGGTATTTAAAAAATATTTAAAATTTTTATATATTTTCATTATATTTTATTTCAGACCTTTCTAATATCCCATGTAGTGTTGTTAAACGGCTCGATTTGAGCTGATTTTTAAAAACGGCTAACTCAATATTTTATCCAGAAAAATATTACTCAAGCCTGAATATTTTTTTCATAGATGGCACAAAGGTTTAGACATTTATTAGCGAAATCTGGAGCCTTAGGCAATATTTCTTTGGCTAAAATATTGAGTTTTTAACAACACTAGTCCCATGTGATCTTCCTATTCGAGTGGTATTTTCAAATTATTAAAATCTTTTATAAATTTTCATTATATTTTTATTTATTTTATTTCAGACCCTGATGTCACATCTGATCTTCCCTAAGATTCGGCTGCCTTTCCTCATGAGATAGGTATTTCCAAAATATTAAAATCTTTTATATATTTTTATTTATTTTATTTCAGAACCTTCTAATGTCCCATCTGATCTTTCTTATGTTTGGCTGCCTCTGCACATGAGATTGGTATTTTCATATTAAAATCATTTATTTATTTTCATCATATTTTTATTTTATAATATTTTTAATTAAGATAATCAAGTTAATGATTGTGACATCCTTATATCATCAATTATCTTAAGTATTTTTAATTCTATATTCAAATATATAAAATTTCCTATAAATCCAGATAACATTAATGATAGAGATAAACAACAAAATGAGGAAGAATGTAAATCTTATTTGCAATTTTCACTATTAAATTTGATATGTTTATCATATAATATATTATTTTCTTTTACTAATTTTGATAAAGAAAATATGGAGATGAAATTAATGAATATCAAATTTCTGGTCAGGATGAAAAGACAGGGAAAGCATAAAAAATCGGATCTTATAGTTATAGGTTTATCAAGAAAAATTCAGAAAAAAAATTGTTAAAATTATAGAAAGTATGATATAGGATTTGGTATTTTAGTTTATATAAAATTATTTTCACTATTTTATTTAATAGCAGAACCAGAAAATTCACAGAAAATTGATTTCTTATTAAAGGATAAAATAAATTCAAGTTATTATATCTATTTTTTATTGGCTATATTTTTATATAGATAATCAGATTTTACAAGAGTCCTCGGAAAATATACCAGATATTGGTAATAATGTTGCCAGTAAATTAATTTTATAAAATATTTATATATTTTTATCAGAAATTCATAAGGCTTATGTCTCGTTCACAGAAATAGAAAAATATGTGTGGATTTTAAACAAAGTATATAGATTAAAAGCAATAGAGAAAATTGGAAACAATATATTAGTTTGTAGTGAAGTGATGATATACTAGTTAAAACAACAATCGATATGCAATGTCTAGGAAATAACGACGTAGATATTGATATTCTAAAAACTCATTTTACACTGGATGCTTGGAAAAAATTTCAAAATTTATATAAAAATATACTCTGGTTGTGAACCTTTTGACAAAAAAAAGGGTCCCGGTCAGAGTTCAGGTACAGAAATAAAACTTGAAAAGACCCGGGTCCAGGGTTCTGGTATAAGATTTTTTTTCATACATTTATTTATTATACTTCCATATATACATATTCATAGTTTACAAATGAAAACTTTAAAAATGAGATAATTTATATTTTCAATATTTTATTCAATCGCATAATCATAATGTCTTCTAAAATATTATCCTTAAGATTTCCATGTAAATTCACGTATACCCTTACCTAAAATAGATAGTTATCTTTATAAAATTATGATGCCGGTACAGCCATGAAGATTCTAGATAAATATATAATTCTGGATATATTGAAGAATTTTTTTCCCAGAATTTTAAAATATTTATATCCTTATTTATTATCTTAACTTTGCATACTTTACTATTAAAGTAGCAATAGGCATTTTTTGATCCTACTTTCTATCTGATGATAATTTAATTTTTTTTTCTCATCTAAAAGTAAAATTTAAAGATCATCAATGTTGCAATCATTATTATTATCACTACTACCAGTAGGTATTGTTGTAGTTGTAACCTCCAAAATATTGTAAATAATGGAGTTTTGAGTATGCCATAAATCCTTAAGTTGTTTTTGCTCAATATTCAATAAAACTTGATATCGAGGGTCTAAATATATAGAAAAGTATACAACACTATTTTGCAAATATTGTTGATCTCGAATTTTCATGTTTTCTAATATTTTGTATAAAAAGAACTGTAAATTTATCTAAATCTAATTGGCATCTAATCCATATGCCATAAAAATCAAATGAAAATATTGTAATCTTAGTATTGTTATTTTTAAAGGAACTAATACACTAGTAAGGTCCTTTATTTGGTAACAATAAAAATGACTTCACATGAATAAAATCATTACAGAAATCTTTCAAACTTAATAATCATTCTAGCATCATACAAATTGAGGACAAACGTGTTGTGCATTATCATTTAAATTAAAATATTATTACACAATTCACTTTAAAAATAATCAACGTATTTTTATAAGTACCATATTAAAAAATTCACATAATAAAATATTATTACCTACACTAATGATATCAATCTCTAAATAAAATGGAAGTCCAGGAAGAAAATTGAAAGAAAAACGCAAAGAAATATATGATTCCACCAAAAAAGGTTAATAAAATTTATATTCTTTTTTAAAAAAATATTTTTTTTAAAAAATTTTTTTATGACATCTTGAACCCTTGGACCAAAGGGTCCAGGTTCAGGTTCAGTCAAAATACAAGGATTCAGGAGGGTTTGGGGTTCATATCCCTGGAATAACCCCTATGTTAAATATGATTTATCAGTCATGTGCAATATGTGTCTTGATAAGTACCTTTTTGTTTTGAAAATATTTTAAAATAACCTTGGAAAAAAATTTGGTTTTGTATTATATGCCGCTAACTGTATTTACACAATGTGATTGATTTTTGTTTTTGTTATAGAAATAAAAATGGCTGTTAGACATAATTATAATTGATGAATTTAAATTATTTATAAAATATAGGGTATTCTTAATATAGAAATATTATTTAATTCCATTTACGCTCATAAATTCTATTTTCACCATAGATAGTTATATGTTTATAGTTTCTATTTACCCCCATAAATTCTATTTGTACCATAGATGAAGTTATAGGTTTATATTTTTCTATTTACCCCCATATATTGGCACTATAGATGAGGTTATAAGAAGTTTATATTTTTATATTTACCCCCATAAATTCTATTTGCACAATAAATGATTATAAGAAGTTTATATTTTTTTATATTTACCACCATAAATTCTATTTACACCTATAAATTTTATTTTCACCATAGATGAAGTTATATGTATATATTTTCTATTTATCCCTATAAATTCTATTTGCACCATAGATGAAGTTATAAATTTATATTTATCTACTTACCCCCATAAATTCTATTTGCACCATGGTGGTAAGTTTTTTTTCTATTTACCCCATTTTTAGGGGCATGCAGCTAGAGCCATTATGTTTTTGTTTACTAAAAAAATTATAAAAATTAGGGGATGCACAATAAACCAAAAAATATTCTTAAATATTCATTATGATAATATAAAAAAATATCTTTACTAACCATGCAATTTATTATACTTCATTTGATAAATATGAATGATAACATATGTATATTGTTGTAGGAATATATCATTGGGTGGTTCAATTACAATATTGGCAATTACAGATATTTTTACAGAATCTGATTTAATAGACTTTGAGAAACTAATATAATTGATGGAAAATTTAATTTACTCTAGAACCATCTAAGAGATTTACATTAATTGTTGCTGAACCAGTTTTATGTGCTTCAATTAAAATCATATAACCATGAAATCCATCTTTTTCTAAAAATGTAATGGAATTAGGTGTTTTATATGAAGAATTTTGAAATTGGGAAATTCTATAATAAATAAATTTGAGATCATTTAAAATTTAATGATATGAACCCAATAATATCAGTTGATGTAATAGACCATATAAATTTTATTCCATCTAAAGTAGTAAATGTATCATCTTTACAATAAATGTGATATGATTATCATTCATCTATAAACTTTTGTTATTTTGAGCTTTAACTTCAAAAATTTCTGGTGCATCTTCTAAGTATAATATTCTAGTGGTAGTGACTATGCCAAGTGAAGTGATCTGGTCTATAATTACATCACATTTGAGCAAATATTCATTATCTATTATGAATTTAGATAAATTCTATATTAAATTAATACATATATCTTGAGCAAATATATTAGCTAAGGATCTTTTCATATTTTTATGAAGAGCACTTATTACTACTTCTTTTGAACATTCTGTGTTAGTATTGATAACATCCACAATATCAGGAGCAGTTGACCACCTTATAGGATTTATTAATTTAAAAATAAATACATTACCATTTATAACAGCCTTCATTGGCATAAAGGGTAAAATTAATAACTATTCCACTATTAAATGGCAGTAAAACTCTTGGCACATTTAGCTTAGGTTGTTCTGCCGTTATTGAAGCAAAAAATATAAAATACAATCGAAATTCCATAATTTTAAAATTATCGTCTGAAATAATCTTAATTACCACCAGGAAAATAACTAACCCTTAATATAATCATTATGTTTAGTAAATTTATAATTAACAACTGATTTCAAAAATCATTTAAATGATTATCACCACTTTTTTCTTTATTTATATGTTAATATATAATTTGAATATTTTTTACTTTGTAACTTATGACCTTTTGTAAAAATCTTTTCTTTTTTTTTGATGACCTATAATTTGAAAAATCTTTTCTTTTTTTAATATATCTGTAAAAATTGTAAAGATTTAGAGTAGTAATTTTTATAAAATTGAAATAATAAATTTAATAAAATAAAATAAAATTTTTACTTTTTCTTTACCTGCCTTCCCAGAAAATATCATGATGGTAGAGAATTAAGACGCTAAAAATTATACTGAAACATGGTGGAGCTAGACGAAAGAGGATTATGGAAAATGATTTTAATATTATTCTAAAAACACGTAAGAAATGATTAAAATATAAAATTGAAAAAAATATAATAAAATTTTAATGATGAAATATTTAAAATAAGATAATGATAAAACAAAATTCATAGATAAATTAGAAGATTATTTAGTAAAAAAATTTATAGATGATGAAATACGATGAGCACGATAAAGGGGTGAAGTCGCACGTACATAGATATCAGTGGAAAATTATGAAAATTCGAGACATACAAATAATTATGAACCAAGATATAGAAACAATTATAATCCTAGAGTTTATGATAATGATAGGAAGTATAATAGGCCAAGACCGTATAATAATTTTACAAGATTTAACAATACAAATAATTATAACTACGATAACTATAGATATAATAATAATGATAATTACAAATATAATGAAAATAATTATAGATATTATAGACATCAGAACGAATCGAGATACATACCTAGATACAATAATAATCAGAACAATAATCAGTCATACAACAACAATAGAATGGATGATGATGACAAGGCAAATGATGATTACAAAGTTACGATATATCTTAATGATTTACCAATAGTCATGCAGATCAACACCGGGTCACGATTTTCGATATTGCCGATTAATATTGCTAGAAAGATAGGAATTAAAGTCTTGAATAAATCGGATAGGAAACTGACTGGCTATGATGGGAGAAGAATTGAGGTGCTAGGTATCGTTAAAATAAAAGTGAGATATGAAGACAAAACTCAAAATTTAGAAGGGTATGTAGTCCAAAATGACAAGATTGCAATTCTGGGAAGGACGTGGATAAAGGTTTTTGGAAACATACTTAATAAAATTGTAAATATAATCGAGGAAAATAGAAAAGTAGATAGTAAAAATTATGAAGGTACATATTACAATAAAAAGCATGAAAATTATAATTATAAATATCATAATAATAAAAACTTGAATAAAATTGAATTAATTAATACCAAATGTTAAAAAAGAAATAAATTCTTATAAATTAGAAGAAATAAATCATTTGATAACAACTGAAGAAATAATAGTTATTAAAAACAATGATGAAATAAAAATTGAAGAAAATAATAAAATAAAAAATTTTATAATTAATAAAAAATTTAAAAAAACTTTGGAAAAGAAAATTAAAACAAAGATGATTAAATATCGTGATGTTGAAAGAGAGATTAGGAGTACGACATGGAGATCGTATGTTGAAAATGGAAGGAGAAAGAGAAATTTTGTTATAAAGAACAAGTTGAAGAGTAATTATGATATAAAAAAATTGTTTAAATTGAAAAATAAAGGAGTAAAATTTAAAATAAAAATAAATAAATAATAAATAAAAAAATTATAATAAAATGAAACAATTCCAAATATTCTAATATTCTATATTCCATGATTCTTATTCTTAGGATTGATTCTGATAAATTATTTATTCCATTAACATTATTCCAAAATTATTTTTTTTGAGATATATTGATCATAATATATATTTACAAACATTGATAAAAATGATGATAAATAACGAGATGACCAAGCTAGTGTGAAAATGATGTTTATAGATGATAAGGATAACAAGCTAAAATTAATGAAAAGATATGATTGAGGCTAAACAACAACAAAATATCAAATGAAAACTCTACAAAGGAGAAAAAATTTTTAGAGGTGGAAGAAGTGAACAAGTTCAAGTTTAAGTTCAAAATTCCAAAATTCAAAGTCAAGTTCAAAATTCGAAAATTCGTCCAAAATTCGAAAACTCAAAATCAAGTTCAAGTTCAAAAATTCAAAGTCAATTTCAAAAGCGAGGACATAGAAAATGATTGTTATAAATAAATAAAATTTTGTAAAAAAATATATATGTAAATTTTTAAAAGAGAAATGGGATGATCAATACAAACAAAAAATCAACAAGCAATGTTCAACCAACAACGTTTCAACAATGATGTTCAACCAACGATGTTTCATGATGTTCGATAATCGATTTAACAAACGATAATCAGATGGTCAAACAAACAAACGAACAAATGACTAATGGAGCAATTGAGAAACGAATGACTGGAAGTGAAGATAAGAAACTGAGGAAAGAAGACATAAAAAAAGAGGGAAATGTTAATATATAATTTGAATATTTTTTTACTTTGTAACTTATGACCTTTTGTAAAAATCTTTTCTTTTTTTTGATGACCTATAATTTGAATATTTTTTATTTTAACCTTTTGTAAAAATCTTTTCTTTTTTTAGTGACCTTTTATGTTAATATGTAAATAATAATATATATATAGCTGTAAAAATTGTAAAGATTTAGAGTAGTAATTTTTATAAAATTGAAATAATAAATTTAATAAAATAAAATAAAATTCTTACTTTTTCTTTACCTGCCTTCCCAGAAAATATCATTATAAATGACCTTCCAAGTAGTATCTCTCATTGTAGCGTCTACAAGAACGCGGAAGAGGGGTATGTAGGAACAGTTTGCATTCAAATATTTTAAGGGGGGTGGGGTGGGGGGGGGGCTTTAAGGGGGTAGAATGAATATTTTGAGGGGTTATCTATTAAATTTTTAAATGAAATTAGGGTAAAATATATTGTTGTAAAAATTACTTTTAGTATAGACCTATTATAATACAATGATATAGCTAAACATCGACCAAATATATAAACTGTATACAATCTGTTAATATATAAATTTTGCATATTTTTTACTTTGTAATTAATGACCTTTTTGTAAAAATTCTTTCTTTTAAATTTATTTAATGACCTTTTATATTTTCCTAATTTTCGTAAATGTTAATTTAATTTAAGGACGAATTTGTTAAAAATTAACCTTAAATTGTATATATGTAAATAGTATTAAAATAATAATATATATAGTTGTAAAATTTTCAATATATTCAGTAATATAGTAATAGTAATATAAAAAATGATAAATTAAATAAAAGATTTCAAAAATATTTTTTGGTTTTTCTTTACCTGCCTTCCCTGAAAATATCACAATCAATGACATTATTTTTCAAATAAAACTTTCTGCTAACCTTTTAGGTGTAGTATAAATAAAAGCTAGACATTCTAAATCATATATAGTGCTAAACAATATACTATAATAATGCATTCATTGTAAATGAGAGGAGTTTTAATTAAATTTATGATCTAAAAAATAACTCTCTTATATTAACAATATTGATAGTTGATAGTAGATTAAAACAATTGAAGTTATTTATTTATGAAGATATTAGCATTATAATAAAATAGTTGAGTAGGAATATCGCCGCCGAAGATAGCGAGGTTTTTTAGGAGGGTGTGCATAGGTTTTTGAGGGGATTTTGCAACCAGTAAATCCTGTCATGTGGAACTGCCTCCATGCAATAGAGTTGTCAAGTTAATTAAAACCCCCACTTTTACACATATTGACATAGGCGTAGCCAGGGGGGGGGCAAGGTAATCCCCCCTTCAGAAATTTATCACTTTTTGTAAATATCATTTTAAGCTAATAAAAAATATACCCCTTAGTCCTCTCCCCACTCCATGACCCTAAAAAATATATGCATATATCTTAACAATAATTTGAAAGAAAGAATGTAAAAGTTGATATTTTTTATAAAACTATTCATCATAATTTATACATTTTTGGAAAAAAGCATTTTTATATATAAAAAGTGAACCAAAAATGTTTTTTAAGAAATGGAATATAAGCCAAAGATAAGTCTTAAGACAAAAGTGAAATGTATAATAATTATTAATAATAGATCCATATAATTACTAAATAATATAATATATCAAATATAATTTTTTATAAAGTGAGTAATTTTAATTTATTTATCTTAATTAAAGTAAAATATAATTATAAAACTAAATCATAAATTAAATAAAAAATTAAAGCACAATACAAACAGTGGAATATTATATGTCAGGGTTGGCATGTCGGTCAATTGACCGGTCAAATTCGGTCAATTGACCGGAGGAATATTTGACCGGTCAAATACTCTAAAATATTAATGGCGAATAAATATTTTGATATAATTAACTAGTATGCATTAAAAGCATGTTTATCAATCTTATTAGGTTACAATTATTTAAAAAATTATTTGTATCATGAATTGTTAAAAACAAGAGAATTTTTTTATTGTTAAAATATAAATATGTAATTTTTCTAAATATAGTAATATTTTTAGTTATTTTTTTGCCTAATCATTGCCGTTTCTCGCCTTCTTTATTTTTTTTAATTCATTTTTCTTAAAAAAAATAAAAATACCGGATTTATTATAATCATAATATAATTTTTTCATTCTTATTTTTTAATAAATTTAAATTTTATTTAATATTTAGCTGAGTATAAATTATATTAATTCTCATTTGTTTTACTTACACTTCCTATATTTGGTTTTTAAAATTAATTTTCATTTTAATTGTTCTGGTCAGATTTACGGAGTATTATTCAATTCTGGTAAAAAGTTATATATATTATATTATATTTATAATATTAAGAAATTATTGGAATAATTGGTCGATAATTATAAAATAGTTAAGATTGATTAACTTTACAATAATCAAAA